GCTGGGATTTATATGAATAGCTGGGAGCCAGGACCTGGGCTTGTCTCACACGTTTTGTTCCATCTCTTATGAAGGAACACCACCTGCTGTAGTCCTAGTTGGTTTTCCAGACACCATGTCCTAGTGTCATTGCCATCCGCAGGATCAGATGCTGCTTGAGAGACCCACAGCACCTCCATGCCCAGAGGCCTGCCATGCTCCTGCATTCTGGATTCTCCACCATGTTGTAGAGGGAGCACAGGTACCAAACACTTCATTCTGGGTAGGACACTTCCTTTACACAGGTACATAATCACTCAGTTGAGACCCAATGGGGAACTTCTTGAGTCTGAGAGCCCTATGCAACACAGGCCTTTATTAAGGACTCAGTTTTAATCAAAAAGCTAAAGAGAAACAAAACATGGAATGCCCAGCTGTGGGAGCAAGTGGGGGCTGACTGCATCCTCCCCTCTTCAATGCCCCCACCTCAGCATTCTGCCCCATTCAGCTGCTCAGTTACGTTTTGCTCAAGCCTTTGCTGTGATGTGCTTGAAATGGCCCGCACAACTCTGCTTCCTATCTCTCTCATGTTCCCTGCTGCAGGTGGCAAAAGAACAGCTCTGCCAGCCTCTTCCACCCTGGCCCATGCCAGGCACTGCCTCATCTAGAGGCATCTAAAATTACACACCCTTTCCCCATGTCTTTCTCTGCTTTGGGTAGGGTATGGTAATTGTTAATTTTGGAAGACAAATCCACAGTACTCCCCACCCCTTCCTTCTCACCATCCATTTGCTATCATTCCAGTCTTTTGCTCTCCTAGATGCTGCAGCATCCCCCACATGGCAGGAAGACGCCTTCTCCACTGTGCTTCCCTTTATATTCATTTTCATCAATCATTATAAATGACACCTCTGATCTTGTGGAAGGACTGCTTGCTTCATTAATAAAACAAAAGAACTCAACACCTTCCAGAACTTAAGGACTTTCTCCCCATGTTTCTCCCCTTCTACTGGTTATAGGTAAACACTAAACAAGCAGATGAAATGCTATTTACCTATTCCAGGCAAACAAGCTGTCTGGTAACACTTAAGTTGGCTGCAGAGCCATTTTTATGTAAACCCCACACACAGACACATCCAGAGACATTCCCACTGTAGAAGGAAATCAGCTGAGAATGGTCTGAAAGACAGAACTGTGTCAGAACAGCTCACCCATCACATGTTTGTTAGAGACACAGATATTCCAGTGGGTATGTCAACCAGTTAAACAGTAAACAATTTTACTTTAGTTAGACTTAATTTTCACCATCACCAATATGAAAATTAAAACCTGTTAACTTCCTACTCATGCTTGCATTAACAAACACAGTATTTAAAATATTTTCCCCATTCAGGTGTTTAATTGGATACATGGAGCTAGAAACAGAAGTCATCTACCATGATCATCTATCCTAGACAGTAAAATGCCCAAAGGCAAGAAACTATTGTACGGGTGCTATACAGATCATTGGCGGTTTTGTGCTGACAGGGTTATAAAACCCTTATCCCATCTTTTTAATAGGTTCTGATGCTGCATGTTAGTCTCATTACTTCTATAAAAAAGTGCGCTAGGAAACCAAATTATTTAAACATTACATTAATAAGGATAATAAAGACATGAAACTCAAACTCTTCTGCCTTTCACATGCATGCCTTGTAATTTTGAGACAAGTAATCCTTTCTGCTGCAGCTTTTGGGGTTTTATTTGCTGCAGCTGCTGCACAGTGTGGAAGCAGAGTGGTTTGTTCAGAGCTCAGGGCCTGGTGTCTCAGAGGAACACCAGGGCTCTTCTACTTGTTTCACAGAGGTGCTTCCTGACCTTGGGGCACTCATCTTCCTGCATGATTCTCATATAAATTAGGTATGAGACTATTTAACATGCTTGAAAGGCAGAAAAAGGAGTCAGCAGGAAAGCTGACTTGCACTCTTCAACTGCATTCAAAGGAGGAAAGCAGCAGCAACAGAGAACTTGGTGTTGTTAAATATAAATTGATGGCAGCAGGGTCCGGGACAAACTGCCTTCAGCCAAGTTTGCATATTAGTTACATCTCCTCTAAGCTATGTTTTCAAAGCCCATGCACTCAAAACACTCTGTTCTGCAATGGGAGCTTGAAAACCTGTTTGTCAACAAATAATTAGCTCATGGCTTGAGTAAGTATGCCCCAGGGGCTCAACCTGTCTTATCTTGCCAGGAGCTCTGCCCAGGCACTGATCACAGGAGGAGGCCTGAAGCTCAACAACCCTCCTGACATTTGTGACAACATCTAAGCAATTAAAAAGTCAGTTATTTAACTTTTCCAAGCTATTGCTAAGCGCTTGTTGCAGTCACCATATTTGTGCTGAACCCAAAATTTTACATCTCCTTTAACCTAATGAAACTAACCAATTTATATATGCTCAGTTACCACTTAGCATAGCTGTTAAAAACCTCTCTGGTAGACTATGACCTGTTTATTAGTAAGACAGTTAAGGACAGAGAAAAACTCCGCTGTGTTTAATATAACTGGGAGCTAAAGGGAATGTTTGCTGTGATTTAAGTAAGTGCTGAGATGCAATGCCCAAGTTTGCATTGCAGAGGTTGCCTGCCAGAAGCAAGACCCATCTGTGAGGAGCTGCTAAAAGGCACCCATGGTAAAGTCATCCTCTCAGCACAAGCAGTAAATAACTGTGAGGCTACAGATTTCACTCCCTTTTTAGTTATTCCTACTTGTGTTTTACAATTTCAGTTTTATTATTAGCTATTTAATTCCAGATTCTATTAATAATTATTTCTCTAAATCACAGTTTAGCTGTGTGCAGTGAGAAGCTCCACTCCATGGACTTCAGCTGGTTTTCTTGCAGGGATACAGCCATGTGCAAACTGTTTTATTGGCATGCAATCCCTCTCTCTGCCAGTACAGGACTGAAAAGCTAACATCTCCCTTGAGAATAAAGCAGCATTACACACCAGGTGTCCCCTCATTGTGAGAAACTAGCTCTTTATTTCCAGAAGGGTTTTCCTAGAGTTCTAGGATACATTTCCCCATTTGGCTTTTGTTCTTGCAGCACTTTGGGTAGGTTAAGCTGCAGAGAGCTCCCCACTGCCATCTTTTTTCTCCAGTGACCATCAGCAATGTCAGAAAGCACTTTGAACTGTGATTCACATGGAGTGATGGTAAATGCAGATGGCTTCACAGCACAGAGGTATTAGGAACTGTATGACATGTTTCTTAAAAAATGGGTTTCTGGAAAAAACTCAAGCTACCAATATTAACATCTTAGGTTCTTCTACAGTATCCACTTAAAACTGATGGGGTCTGCTCAAGACAAGGAAGAAATCTTGAGACTTGGTATGGGCTGGGGGACTCTCAGGCCTTGTGGTCTCTTTATGAAACCAATGGTGCTGGCACAGCCAGAGTCTGTCTGACTGGACCGGGTTGCAGACACCTCTGCATCCTGCGCAAGACCATTGGGCAGGGCACTGGGCCACAGCCTTGCTCATTACATTCCTAACGGTAGGAAAGCAATCACAGGACAATAAACTGTTTCTGTGGAAGACTTAGGAAAACAAAAATACTAAGAGAAAAAACATCAAGATCAAAGGGATAGAATATTTCCCATTCCACCACAAAAATCAGCCTTACAAATCATGACCAGCAATAGGAGACATGTACAACAAATTTTTCCTTTTCAAGGAAAGAAGAAACTGAAGAGGGAGGGACAAGTGGGAAGGAATAAAGGGCCATAAAAAGGAACCAATTTTAATGCACCATTATAATCTTTGAGCATTTTCTCCCTGACAAGCAAATCTGCAAAGCATTTAAGATCCATATGTGACAAAGAGTCAGCCAGAGAGGGAGGAGTGGAAGGAGATGCCACTTGAGCTGGCACATCAGAGGATCTTTAAATAGAAAAGCTTTCAGGGAACTCGGGGTAGGCGCTTACCACACAAAATTTAATTACAGCCATACTCATCTGAAAAAAATATTACAGCCCTCTACTCCCTCCTTTTTTATCTACAGCAATTGGGTAAGGGAAGGGGGAAAAGTCAATAAACCACCATGGGACTCCAATCCTGGCATCTCCTGGGGGATGATGCTTTGGGGTAGAGCTGCCAGCTCCCTCTGGGGCTATAAATCCTTTGGGGGAACATACCTATTAGTCAGCTCCTCTGCTTCCTCTGGGTCCATGGCCTCCTCCTCCTCCTCCTCCTCCTCCTCCTCCTCCTCCTCTTCCTCTTCTTCCTCTTCTTCTTCATCTCCTATGAAGGACGAAGTCTCAGATGCCCTGTCACACTCAGAGCCGCGGGAGCCCTCCATTCCCTTCCCTGCTCAGGCCCTCGCCGGTGATGTTTACCCCCAGCCCTGTCCTCCCCAGGGCTGCCTGAAGCAACTGTCATCCCCAGTAGCACTCACTTCTCCTGACTCAGGGCAGTCTTTAAATAGAAGGCAGCAAAGTTACAGCGCAGAGTCGCTGCTGTTCCTACCCTGTCTCCTAGCACCAACCCAGTGCCAGGACACGTGGCCCCGTGGCCATCTCTCCAGCTGCTCTCCCCCTTCGCCTGCGCTGCTGCCATAGAGTTGTTTCTACAGCAGACAGGGCAGTCAGGCAGCAGCAGGGAGGAAGGGGGCCAAGCAGACCTTCCCCAGTCACCTCTAGCAAATTTGGGGTGGATGGTACAGATGAAGCAGAAGGAGGGTTTATCTGTGGCCTCAGAAAAGGTACATTTCAAAAGTTCTGCCCTGGAGAATACCCAGAGTGCCTCAAGCTCAAACTGGAAAGGTCAAATACAGTAACTAGTGAATGAGCCTCTGACAAACACATTTAATTATTAATACCATACTGTAAGATCTATCAGATGCACTGTGGTATTTAACCATGCAAAAGGAATGTATTTAAACCCTCGATTTATCAATGTGCTAAATCACAGGACATTTAAAACTTCCTATTTGAGTGGACTTGAACCAATTACAAAGCAAAGACATACTATACCACCATGCAGAGTTTAGGTTAAGCCACATTTATGCTTTATTATTCTGCATTTTACAAAAAATGCAGTGCTTTTCACACACAAAACAGAAATATTTCCCATCGTATTAGTCAACATAATGACTTTATTTAAAAAAAAAAATTTAGAAGAGGAGGAAAAGCATTAAACCCCTGATTCTAAGTAAAGAACTTCCAAGATATCTCAAGTATAAACAACTGTTTGCACAGTATAACTCCAATGCCCCCAGCTTTTTTTTTTCATTGTTCTTCAAATAAATATCTGGTAATAAATCAATCAGCAAACACTTCCTTAAGAGTGCTGTAAATATAGAAACACCCAGCCATGTACTTCTGACTACAAGCTATCTCTGCACACAAAATAAAAATTCTCCTGACATTCCTAAACAGTTTGTACAGGTCTTTCTGCTCTCTTGACCTACACAGTGACATACACAATTTACAAGGTGACAATGTAATTTTTTGAAAAGTGTATTTTGGAACAGATATTAAACTAAATTAAACTCTACATTTCATCATGAGCATAGACAGTGTACACAGCAAAATGTAAAGACTATGAAGTACTCTTCCTTAAATTTCATGTGGAAGGCGAGAGCTTTACAAGTCTTCCAGAAATGCTTATAGATGAAACATACATACATTGCACAAGTTTTGATTCAGTCTTCAGCACAGCAAGAGAAAGGCAAGTACTCTTTTACCAGAAACCTTTCAATTATTTTCATCTGTACTTCTCACAAGTGAATTTGACCTGTAAATGGACCAAAATCGCACATTCTTTCATGCTCTTCAGACAAGCATCACACTCAGTAAAATCAATGGAAATATTTATATCTGAAAACACAAGGATTACAGAGAACAAGGCAAAAAAAACCCCACAAACCACAAAACACAGGACAACCCATAGCAGTACAGTACAATAAATCAAGAGTGACATTCTGTGATGGACTTAAATTTAACATCAAATATACTGTGACTCAAGTCCAGTAACACAAGTTCAAGTAAAGCACTAGTTCCAAATAAATGTTTGGGATTCACAAATATTAATGTGCTCACAAATGCTAACTTCAGGTTTTATACAAATCATCTTACATCCTTTTATCATCACTCCCCGTTTCTCCCAAATGAACATGTCATCCTGCAGTGTGAGTCTTAAAATTGATTTATATTGATTTCTTTGTGAGGGATTTTTAAAAAGTAACACCTTATACTGTCAACTCACCTAAAGGTACTGAGAGTTCACTTACATATTCACATTTCAGGACAAGTGAGAGCAAGAGCTAGAAGAGAAACTTTAAGTTTCACAGTGCACAGCCTATGCCAGTACTGCATCACTGTCACCAAATATGAAGCTCTTGCCAACGTTTGGTCCTACTGTGCACCTTTGAACAAGTTAATTTAGAAGACACTAGTGGTTTCTGACACATGAGGTGAGAACAGACAAGAAAACCCAATGCCAAAATGAGTAGTCAAGAATAATAATTTTAAAAATTAAATAAATAGAAACGCTGAACTAAACCAGTTTTATTTCAAGGCAATAACAAATTCCAAAGAAGACAGCATCTTGCACACACACTGACACCTTGGTCAGTTGCAAAAAATACCTTTTACCAAAGAGCTCTTAGAAAAAACTATTCCTGCCAGGATGTATGCCAAGGGATAAGAAGGTAAAAGTTTTTATTTTTAAGCTGAGGAAAGTTGAAAATTTTACCCTAACACTAAAATTTATGGTAGCCATTAGTGAATTTTTTACTCTGAATACTTGCCCAGAGATGAAAACACAGGTCATTAAACCTCAAAAGACTTGAGACTATACAGAACTGAATCCAAAGTTCAAGTCCAGCTCCTACCCACTCTCCCCAAGCAATTTACTTTGTGGTATTACATCTGAAGTTTTCTGACAAAAGTTGCAGCCCACTATTTAACAAATATGCTATCACCAGGTCTGTTCAAAAAAATTGGGGAAAACTACCATCTAGATTTTCTGGTTACAGATATGGTTTATCAGAAGGACATAAACTTCAGAAAAAAATTCAAAAGGATTCTTTTGAAACACACAGACTGTTGTAGTTACAGACCTTACCTTGTATTAAAAATACCACTTAATTGGTAGGGCATTTTTATAGAGTAGCTCAAAAATACCACTATGTTTAAACTAACCTTTTAAAAACAGCTAGGAATTAAATTAAACATGAAGCATTAATTTAAGGTGTAAGAAATGTTGACATATTAGGTGATGCAATACAAACTCATAAGAAAGTTTTATGCCTTTTATAAAGTTTTGTTTCTCACATTCAGCTCGCTTAAAATACATTTAAACCACCTTTAAACATTTATGTCCCTTCTTATTTATTCTAGGTTGGGAAAGTTTTAAATTTTCTAGACAAAGATATAGCCAACATGTTTTTTAAGAAGATACAGCCAACATTCTCTTTTCCCAGAATCTACATAGAGCTTGTAGAGCATCTTTGAATCCGGACATCATCCTGTCCTAAAATCTTGTGCTTCAGTTTTACATAAAGTGAATCAAAGTGAATGTTTCACTGACACTCAAGTCTACCATCCTATAGAAAAAGGGCAGTGAGGGTGAACATATGCAAGGAGGAAGAACATTTCAGTGGACTGCTGGAGTCATATTAAAACTGAAAGACAATTAAAATTAAGAAGAAAAGTCAATTGCAGAAAAAAGACAAAATTCTACATACAGTAGACCATGACAAAGTGTTTAGGAAGTAATCTCACATCAGGCATATAGTTTACAGTACTTTGAACTTCTAAATAAACTAGAACTTAATAGTTTGCACAAGAAGACATAATACTTGTTATTCTACGGTTAGAAGAGTTTTCACAATCTTGTCAGAGAAAGAAATAAACCAAACTTTTGCCTATTCAAGATGTACAGCAGAATAGCCATGACAGATCTTGATGAATTGCAACATGGGCCTTAGCTCATGGGGCATTTCCTATTCTACTTAATTATAGGAAATACTTTAAATATGCAGTACAAAATAACATAAATTGGAAAAATAACCCGTATCTTCCATATATAAACTTTATTTCACTGGACACCATATAAAATATTAAACTTAAAAAAATGGAAGTACGAATTCAACTTCAGTGGTAAATACAACCTTAAAAATTAATTGGTCTTCAATAACAAATATATGAGAGACACAAATTGTGCTATAGGAGGTCTAAGAGAAGGTTTGCAATTTTTTTGGAAGAACTATAATTTTCAATATTACTTACTTAGATTCAATTTACAGTAGCTGATCAATTCACAAACATTTACACAAAATCAAATGAGAAGCCCAGCTTATTTCAGCACTGATGTGAGGTGTTTTGATTTTGATTTGGTCTTTTTCTCCAAAAGAGGCACCACTATTACTTCAAATACGTAAAAGGAAGCACAAAAAATTTTCCTTTCTACTCTATGTGAATGTGAAGCATTTATGTGCATTGAATTGAGCTTTTTTACTTACACTTCTTCATAGTACAACTATTGCTTGAAAATTTTGGTTTAGATTATAGTTCTTGATATTCAGAGTACTACCAACCATAATCTAGCTTCATTTTCATAAACAGTTGCTTGTTATTCCAAGTAAAGGTGAAATAAAACTGGAAAGTGCAAAGTTGAGCAGAAGTGCATACTGCAATTCAGCAGATGTAAAGCATAGACTCTGTTCATCAAGAAGTTGGTAGTGCACAGTGCCTCAAGAATGTAGTCAGATTTGCACATGGTTTAACTTTGAATGTCTATCTTTCATGATTAAATCTGTCTGAAATAACGGTTACACAAATCATGCAGGAAACAAGTCAGTATATCCCCATACTTCTTCCCTTAAAATAGATGTATTCTTCTTGTTTGCTGTGAGTTTCTTCTAGAAGTCAACAATGCAAGCATTTTCAGAAAGCGTATCTTGAAGAGCTGTATTAACAAATACTGATAATAAAATATGCCACATCCTTATAAACATTTCCTTAACAAAAGTTTACAGAGAAGAACAGGTCATAAAACGATGGGGTGAGTGCCTCTTGATTTTGACACCGTTCTTTATTTCAGCAGGATCCCAAAAAAAGGGAAAATGAAAGAAGCCAGTTATCTTTTCTGTTTGACTGCTTTTAAAGGCAATATACAGTTCAGGTCTTTCTTTTCTTGTAATAACTGCCAAGCCTGAGGAAAAAACACACAAGGTTTTTTAAAAAAGACTATATAATCTTTGCTTTAAAACTTAAATAGCATTATAAACAGTAAGCATCAAAGTGCCACAAAATTAAGCCTGATTTTTTTCCCCTTCTTGAAAAGAAAATTTGTGGGTTGAGGTATTTTTTGTTCATTTGTTTTTGGGATTTTTAAAGGGAAGCAAAATCCAAAAATACACAAAATGCAATGAACTAATGAGGAAGGTAACAGACTGGACTTTTGGAGACAGAAATGTTAGCAATATTTAAGCATTACACTGGTACTCTAACTGCAAAATAATTGTCCCAAATTCACACATGTCAAAGTCCCCAATAAATGATGTTATGCACTGTCATTTCCAGAACTCAGATGTGTCTCTAAAATAGGTTATTTCAACTTTCTTCTGTGTTCCAGTGTGAGTTTCAGGACATCTGCTATGCCATGAGCTTGCAAACAACTGCAATGACCCTCCTGTGTTTATACAGAAGTCATTTACACTCCAATGTGTAAAGAAAACCACAAGAAGAACAATCCTCTCAAGGACAAAACAGATTGCTTAAGCTTTTTTAAAAATAGTGCAGGATATTAAAAAGTACTTGCACTTTTAGAGCAATTGTCATTCTTATGGTATCTGGTAAAAAGGACATTTTTCAGGGCTGTTTCACTCTAGTATATTGCTTCCAGACAGCTAGGATCAAACATCTACTTACATTTTTCAGAAAACCACAGAGGTTTGAAATAAATTTTGTTAACTGAAAACTCTGGAAAGAGAACTTCACTCTGATTTCAGAGTACCGTGAGAGCCCAAACCACTTTGTGAATGTGACTTAAGCAGATTCACAAAATCAACTATTTTATGTACCAGTATATGAATGATTCAGTATTTTGTATGCTAACATGGTTAAATAAAAGAAAAACTTATTAACATTTCTGAAGAGAATTACAAGGAAAATGACTAAGGTGTCTCTTTTAGCGTTTGCTCTGTTACAAGTATCTGGCATTGAATTATGTTTTGCTGGAGAAGCCTTCAAGGTACTTGAAGACACGAATAACTGGAGTAAACAAGAACCTCCAAGGACAGCTGAACAGGGAAGTCTTAACCGGTTAAAGTTGGAAGCCAGTTCTACGCATGAATCCCTAGTCATAGCTACATAAAAAATAGTCAGAGATCTCAGAAACCTAGAATTTGAGTTGCAATACCTATGCAATGCCTATGATAGGAGAGAAGCATAAAAGAGTTGATACCAAAAATTTTCAGAAAAATGCTTAACCAAAGTCTAAATTTTCCCTTGTTTCAAAGTGTCCTTTCCTCCCCTGACTAGGACAGTGAAAGTTCATGTTTGAACTACTCATGTTCTAAAATTATGAGTGTGATCTCCCTAAAGAAAAGTACCCACCTAAGTAAGATATTAAAAATAGGAAAACCCCCATTATTTTGGTGGTGATATTTATTAAAAAAAGGGGTTGTAAGAAGAATAAAATATTATCTATTACCACTCAAATTCATGTAAAAATAATTAATGAATGAAAAAAAAGTTTAACTTTAAAGGTCTTAACCACTGTTAGAATTTTACACACACTCTTAGAAAATCTTAGAAAATCTAAGAGAGAGGGCTTTTACTAGTTGGAGTACCCATTTCAGTGTAAACCTGAAGTTTAATGGCAGACATTAAAGAATACTCTTAAATGATTTTTCCACATATTTTTAAAAACATGCATTTTTACTACTTACTGTACAAACTATAAAACATCAGAAACAGGCAGGTTTAATGACTAGCATTTTCAAGACAGTAAAACTATCTTGAAAAACAAAGTGACCAGAAAAATTACATGAGATTACTTTTTACCTGTGCAAGTTCACCTCTGATCATATCAAACTTCTGTTTCTCATGTACAGCTCTAGCAGTATTTGTCCCATCAAAGGGCTCTGGAGGATCAAAATCAAACATGAAAACTGTTAAAGAAATCTAGAGTTGGTTGTCTAACAAAGTAGGGTCAAGCTGCTTCCCAAAAGTGCTTTAAATACTCAATTCCTCTTTGGTTCTCAAGCTTTCTTTCTACTTACCAAAAAACCCCAAACCAAAACTAAACTAAATGAACCAATAACACAAAATAACTGCCCCACCACAAGAACAAGAAAACCCAAGACAAAACAAACAAACCAATAAAAAGGAGGAGGGAATTAACAACCACAACAAAAAAAACCCCAACCACCAAAAAACCCCAAAACCCAAAAAAATTCCCAAAAACCAAAACACCCCAACACTGAATTCTCTGAATGCTCTGAATGGAGAACATTGTCAGAGAGACAAAGCTGAGCAGTGCAGTTGACACTATAGGACAGGATGCCATCCAGAGGCACATGGACAAATTTGTGCAGTGGGCCCATGCAAATCGCATGAAAGTTCAACAACTGCAAGTGCAAAGTGCTACATCTGGGTCGGGACAATCCCAGACAAGATTACAGACTGGGAGAAGTCACTCAGAGCAGCCCTGCCCAGAAGGAATTGGGGGTGCTGGTGGCTGAGGCTGGACATGCCCCAGCCATGGGCACTCCCAGCCCAGAGAGCCACACGTGTCCTGGGCTGCATCCAGAGCAGGGTGGGCAGCAGGGCCAGGGAGGGGATTCTGCCCCTCTGCCCTGCCCTGCTGAGACCCCACCTGCAGGGCTGCATCAGCTCTGGGCTCCCAGCACAGGAAGGACAGGGACCTGCTGGAGGGAGTCCAGAGGAGGCCACAGAGATGGTCAGAGGCTTGGAGCACCTCTTCTGCAAGGACAGACTGAGAGAGCTGGGGTTGATCCATCTAGAGAGAAGGCTCTGGGATGGACCTCATAGCACCATCCAGTATGTAAATGGGGCCTACAAGAGAGCTGGAGAGGGACTTTTCTCAACAGCATGTCGTGATAGGACCAGATGGAATAGGTTTAAACCAAAAAGGGCAAGCTTAAGACTAGATATTAGGAAGAAATTCTTTACTGTGAATGTGATGAGGCACTGGAAGAGGTTGCTTTGAGAAGCTATGGATGCCCCATCCCTGGAAGTGCTCAAGGCCTGGTTGGATAAGGCTCTGAGAAAAATGGTTTAGTGAAAGATGTCGCTGTCCATGGCAGGGGAGTTGGAAAGAGATGATACTTAAAAGTCTCTTCCAACCTAAACCATTCTATGATTCAATGAATGCTTTAATGATATGTAATTTCTAATAAATTCAGCTTATTATGTGTTGAAGCATACTATGATTGTACTATGCAGTAGTAATTATCTGCTACAGCTCAATAGTCTGTGATAACATATCAGACTATGATTTTGCATATTAAAATATTTTGAAACTTATTACACATGAGACATGAGACTCTTGGAACTATTCACTTTAGATTAATCTCATTCAACAGTTTCTCCGTGAAATACTGAGAATATAGTAAAATATTTAGTATAATTTTAATATAAGACATACCAACTGCTCATACCTTTATCACACCACACCTATTCTGCAATATTGGTTCATAAGTTAACCATTTGGGGGTTCTACTTTCTAACTGATGATTAATCAATGTGATGTTCCCCCCTCCCTTTTTATCCTAAATTAATTAATAGTTTGGAACTTTTTTAATTGCAAGATTAAAAAAGTAGTTCTTGCTACTGATACGGTTGCCAACATTAAAGCAATTGATACTAAAAAATTATTCATTACAGTGTGCTACAGAACAGATTTTATAGTCTTTTTTTTCCTTAATAGAGAACTATTTAGGTAATATTGTGTATTTCACACTGGTAGAATGTATGGAAGTCCTCAAGGACCACAGAAACACAGAAGTATTTGTCAGATCAGGTAGATTTTTTTTTTGTCAAGTTGGTTATGAATTACTTTCATTCAGACAGTGATGTATAGCAAAATAAAGCATTACACAGACACCAGAAGGGCTTGTACCTTCATGGAGACTGGAATTTCAAATTTGGTACATGCTCCACGGCTTTTTTATTTCTGCTAGCTATTTAAATTCACTAAGAATTTTTTTCATGCAATAAATGTTGTATTTAGCAATCTTCTAAAAGGATTCTCTTCAAACTACCTAGTTTTCAGTGGACAGTTACAGGCAAACTTCTCTTATTTCAGAATGCATCATACTTCTAGTTTAGAACAAAAACTGAAAACCAAATAAAACATACACAGTCCTCTAATATCAGTCTCATTATTTGAGAGAGTGATCTAGTATAATTAAGAACTCCATGTTCACATATACTATGTGAACAATTACAGCATTTTATTTGTGTATCATAAATGTGATGGTAACTGCTTTTTTAATGCTAGGACCTTTATGTTGAGTCAAGTCATATTTATATTTTAAAGCCACAAGGGCTGAACTGTACAATCTTCTCAAACCATCTGTGGAAAAAAAGGCATTCCGGGCACAAAAGCTAACACATCTTCCCTTTAATATTCCTGCCTATTTACTGTTTGTCAAAAGACAAACTGGTTCTCTGAAGCACAGCAAGAATAATTTTACAATCAGCTACTCTTTACACCACTATATTTTCTAACCATCAAGACAGTAAGAGTTTGTTTAAAGTTATTTTCTTCAAACACAGAGATGAGAATATTAAAACAAAAAAGTAACACAGCTTTAACACTGATGCTTGAGGGAAAGACTAAAGGGAATCATTTTTCCAAACAAAAATATATAGTATCACAGAGCTCCAGAACTGCTGCTAACCAAGCCCGAGGAATTATTTTTTTAAATTATTTTTAGCATTTGGATCTGAAAGACTTGAAACTACAAATATGAATCAGGTACAGCTTAGGTGGCTTCTGATTTGATTTCCCTAAATTATTATCAATGTAATTATCTTATAAAATTGCCACATTTCTAGCTTTTCCTATTCTCCAACAGGACAGTAGTTGATATTACTTGATACAGACAAGATTTAAACTGAAACTGGAATAGTTAATAGCCATTTAGAGCTTCTGACAAGGATTGTTCAAAATATTATCTAAAAGCAGGGTTCTCTGTATCACTGTATCCCCATCATAGTAAAAGCCTATCATATTTTAAAGTGTCTGGAAAGAGCATCTCTACTATATTTGTTTCTCTAACAGCAGAAATACATATGAGAATCAGCCTTAAGGCCCATAACATTTAAAACACAATACAGTTTTTCTTGAGCTAATCTAAATACAGTACTATATGCAGAATTGTGGAAACTTGCAGGCACAGACTTGTGTAATTTATCAACAAGTACATTTTAGATATTTAAAAATAAATGCAATAGTACCAATTACTGCAATAGTATTCTGTGAACAGGAAAATTTGACAAAGACTTGGAAAACAGAATATATTGGCATGTTTACCTAACTTTTGCAATCTTCTTCTCAAGTACACAGAAATTTATGTACATACTTTGTTAACCTAGTTCGGTTTAACAGCTGTTATAAACATGAAGTCTACTTTGAGCAAAAGTAGATTTTATTTTTCCCTCCCAAATCAGAAGTAAAAAAGTTGGTTTGTGAGGCTAAACCCACTAGGTCTTGAACCAAGGAAGGAATCAGATATATCACCTATAGATAATTTTGACTTTTTTAATAGTTCAAAAGCAAAAGCATTAAGGAAAAGTTCTATCTAACCAATCTATGTTGATGTATATTCTATTTTCCAGCCTGGTAGAAAGAGAACCTAATTATTCAACCACTTTGTAATGTCATAAAATACTTGAGAGCTTCAAACACACAGCCCCCTGCAACACAGTGGATCAGCATCACGTGACAGCAGCAAACATAGCAGCCCAGCATTCCCACCTCCCACATTCAGACCAGAGCCTTGGCAGTGCCTCACTACGCTATTCTGAATCATTTCAGCTGTGCAGATACTCTAATTCTCACATTTCTCAACTCTAAGACCACAGAGTCCAATGCAACTATATTTCAGTGTGTTCTTCTTCTCCTATAACTGTTGACTTTTTCCCAAAGGGTCAAATAAAGAACAGGAATCCCATCATGTGGCTTTACACTGACATTCATATGACTATGGCCAAGTCCATGAGCTCTGGACCACAGAATAACCAAGTTCACAAGCAGGTGAAGTTGATTGAAGGCGATTCTCTGCACAGAGCAGCACAAATGCAGGAGAGTAGATACATACCCCAACCCTAAACCTTATCAATCTTGAAGAATGTCTGTTCATCCACAGATGAACAGACTTATTCTCCTCCTACCCCAGCAAAATCTTCTCAGTGTCTAACAACCTTCCCCATACCATTTGTCTCCTGTTCAAGTTATATTCCTATTTCATCCTGTGACGTCAAACAGCCTTCATTAATTTGCAGCCAGGGCTCAGGCCAGCTCTCCCTTTGTGACAACTGTTTCCAGTTACCCAGCAACTCTCAGCCCCTTCAGTCTGTCCTCATTCTCCTAACATCTCAATCCTTCTCTTGGCTTATCATCTTCTCTTTCCTTACTGCAAGCTTCATCTCCTATGTATGCTTACCTGCTCATCTTCTCCATGTACATTCCCCACGGCAGCTGAAAGGTGTCACTAGCACATGAATCTGGTTGTCTGTACAGTGCTCCTACTCAGTTCTGCACTGAGACAGCTGAGACCTGCAACTCCAACAGGTAGCCTGGGTTTACCCTCCAGTTCTGGAAGGCATCACGTAGTCTCTGCACAAAGCCTATATTCACTAGCCAGCCAAAAATAGTACCCACAAGGAGATCAACGTATACATAACCTAGTCAGTGCAATGCCAGAACATTGCAAGAACAAAGCATATTCTTCAAGAATAATCTGAGTATGTGCCTGCTGTGTTTTTTCAGAAGTTCAAACTCGGCAAAACTGACAACTATTTTTGTGGAGCAGAAAAACACACACTAGTGGCATAAAGGCTATTCCTTATCAAAATCCTAAACCCTGGTCCAAAAGTAACAGGGCAAAGAGTGCTCTTGAAGAAAAGGTCAGGAGTACTATTTTTAAACACTTTAGACCTTAAGCTTCCTTCTCAAATGTTTTTGACGGGATTGTTTACAAACTATTTACATTGGTTATACTTCCTTCTCTACATAATGCACACATGCAATATATTTCTCAAAACACAACCAAGGTAAAGTTTAATTTATAGATTTATGTATTTAATGCCTTAACACTTAAAAACTATAATGCAGCTTCACGTATTACCTTCTACACAAATAAATTTGTTTCTCCATTCAATACCATCAGGTCTTGCAATAGCCTTGGCCTCACGAACTGATATCATTTGATGGCTCCAACTAAAGAAAAGGAAAACAATTTGTAAAAAATTTTAACTCTTAGTTATCTTCAAATTATCAGTTTACACTAAAAAAATTGTCAGATTGCAATGTTATAAGTCTGGATATCACAGTATTTAGTAATAATGAGTAATTTAGTTTAACATCATGAGTAGGAAACAAGAAAACTTTTCTACTAACAGAACTTCAAGTACAAAAAGCATCTCCAAAACAGAGCATCACAGCTATCCATGAGTAACATATATTCACAATGGAATTTTTCTACTAACAATGTCAAACTTTGTGACAATTTACATTGTGACCTACATTTATTTCCAAGTTCAAAATAAATTACAGAGTCAAATTTTTCAGAATTTTCTGTAGGAAGAAAAGAAATATAAGGAATAAGTGTAGACAAGTCACATACTGCATTCCATAAACAACACTCAATAGTATAAAGATATGTAGAAATAATTTGCTCATAGGCCTTCCTTGTGAAAGGAACCTTTCCTTGTGAAAGGAAACTTTCTATTACTAGAAAGTTTCAATACTTTATATATGATGAATTTTAGATCTGCAAGTACAACAACTCTCTACTACTTTCTGCAGGCAGCTTTACAACAAAACATGGAAATTATCACATTTAAACAGGAACAGCAGGCAGATTATAGGGCCTTTTGATGTGCCACCATCTTTATAACACTTGGCACAACAATATCCCAAACATAATGGAAGCCAAAAAAAAAACCCACTTCCAGTTTTATGTTCTCATCTACCCAGCCACCTTTCAGCTGCTTTTAACTAAAGAGGGCAGCTCATCCTGCATGCCATCACATCCCATATCCAAGACAGTCATGGGACTGAGCCCAGCCAGCAGGGGTTTATGAAAGGCAGATCCTGACTGACCAACCTGATCTCCTTCTGTGGCAAGGAGATCAGGTTGGTCAGTGGATATGGGAGGGCTGTGATGTAGTCTACATGGACTTTAGCAAAGCCTTTGACACCATTTCCCAATTTCCCACAGCAATATCCTTGAGAAACTGGCAGCTAGTGGCTTGGGCAGGTGCACTGTTCACTGAATGAGTAAGTACCTGGATGGCCAGGCCCAGAGAGTGGTGGTGAGTGGAGTTACATCCAGCTGGTGTTCAGTCACCAGTGCTGTTCCCCAGGGCTCAGTACTGGGGCCAGTCCTGTTTAATACCTTCACCAATGATCTCATGGAGGGCACCCTCAATCAGTTTGCAGGTGACACCAAGCTGGGTGGGAGTGCTGATCTGCTGAAGGGCAGGAAGGCTCTGCAGAGGGATCTGGGCAGGCTGGATCATGGCTGAGGCCAATGGTGTGAGGTTCAACAAGGCCCAGTGCTGGGTCCTGTCCTTGGGTCACACCAACCCCAGGCAGCTCCACAGGCTGGGGCAGAGTGGCTGGAAAGGACCTGGGGGTGCTGGTGACAGCAGCTGAACATGAGCCAGGCTGCGCCCAGGTGGCCAAGAAGGCCAATGGCATCCTGGCCTGGATCAGCAATGCTGTGGCCAGCAGGGCCAGGGCAGGGATTGGCCCCCTGTACTGGGCACTGGTGAGGCCACACCTTGAATGCTGTGTTCAGTTTTTTGCCCTTTATTGCAAGAAACACACTGAGGTCCTGATGTTTGTTGAAAGAAGAGCGGGGAAAGAGTCTAGAAAACATGTCCTATGAGGAGCAGATGGAAACGGCGTTTTTTATTCTTGAGAAATGGAAGCTCAAGGAGGAATTCAACTCTCTCTACAAGAGAGAACTACAAGAACTACAAGAATGTTGTAGCCACGTAGGGGTCAATCTCTTCTGCCATGTGTCAAGGAAAAGAAGAAATGGCCTCAAATTGTACTAGTTGAGGTTGAGATTAGGTATTAGAAAACGATTTTTCACTGCAAGAGTAAACTGGCATTGGAATAAGTTGCCTAGGGAAATGATGGAATCACCATCTTTTGAAATGCCCAAGAGATGTCTGGATGTGGTACTTGGGAATATGTTGTAGGGGTGATTACAGTGGTGCTGCATTGGAAGTTGGATTAGATGGTCTAAAAGGTCTCTTCTAATCTTGATGATTTTGCAAACCCAGGAGCCACCACATCAGTGAACAGTTGGATCACCAATACATCACCATATGTCCTGACTAAATGGGTAGAAATAGCTGGGCAGTATGCTTCCAGTTGTACTAGTCTTATCTGTCTTAACTGACAGAGGAGCTAGGCTGGGTATGTCAACCACCAGCAGTAAATCTGTAGATATCAACTGTAAATTAAAATAGTCATCCGTTCATTCATCAGTTAAATCTGAAAGAATTCTGTCCTCCCTAGACCACAGATCTGCTGTTGTAACTCCATTAAGTCAACAATGTCAAGTCAGCTAAAAATACTGACTGTAATTTTACAAGTTATCTTGAATACAACTCAAAATTAAAGCCTCCTATAGAGCTCAGTTGTTTCAATAACTGTAATTTCACAGAACACAAATATTTAACACTATGAATAGGGCCTATTTTTAAAAAAGGCAGGACACAGCACGTGAAGAGATCTAGGATACCTCAGTGTGTATATTCAGCATTCTCTTAATATATCCTTTAGAAAATTAGTAATGATGATGATCTTTTCTAGAATTCAATGTACACTAAAGCCTCCATTCTAACCCATAATCCTTCCTCTCCTTAATTCCCACAGTAGACTACTTTTGTGATAAATAGGGAGCATCAAATACTTTCCTATCATGTCTTTTAAGAATCAACCATCAATATAGGCTTAATTCAGATGAATTGCTCAAAAACCCCAAGTGCACACACACAAAAAGACAAAAGACAAACCCCCTGTGCTTAGAGCATCAAACAAGCTTAAACCGCTGCTCAAGAACACATGTTGCGAGCAGAAGCTTACAGTTTGCTTTTTTTAAAGCCTTACTTAAAAATGAGAGATCCAGGCCAGTGGAGGAAGAGAGAAAGAGAGAGAGAAAGAGAGAGAGAAAGAGAGAGAAAGTCATGCAAAGAAGTATTTGATGTGTATTTGGTTTAACAAGGCAGTACTGTTTCACTTGAAACAGCAATTCTTCTCTTGAATTATTTTCTTCCTAGGCTATACTTGATCCCTCAGCAAAAATATAAATGCATTTATAATACACTGGTTAAGCAAAAAGCAACAAAAAATTGGCACTTCTTGCTGTTTAAAAAGCCTTTTATTTAAATTTGAAACTTAAAAGCCTTTTATTTAAAATTGAAATTTAAATTTGAAAACAACTCTTTTATCTGACAGTCATACAGAACTGTCTTGGTACCAAGATCATACTGAATTAGAAATTAATTATGAATAGCAAATTATTTGTGTGTCAATTTTAGCCACTTTGGCTTGCATATAATAACTTCATTGTTGCCAACATAAAGCAGATACTCTCCCTGCACACATTTTCTATCTGTGAATTAACACTGCCATTTAAACAGCTACTTCAATTATCAATTATTTCTGTATTCACTGAATGCATTAGATATGTCATCTTCATGGCAAAGGCAAGTATTTGAAAGGAGGAGACTAGTAGGCATTTTCAGGTGTTTGTATGACTACAGTGCAAACAGGAAAAAAAACTTTTCTTTTCCAGAGCATTCTTAAAATCAAAGCCACTTGTATACACACAGTATGATGGGTACAAGTTACAAATATATTTAATTCAACATAGTATTAAAAATGATCCCTTTATTACCTAACTCATTCTATTGTGAAAAGAGCTGCAAGCAACTTCTTGCTGAAATTTTATATCTGGTCATTAAAATGTAAGCAAGCTTTTACCATGTGCACCATAAACAAATCAGTGAATGATCTTAAACAACTGCTACTTAACCTGCCATGGTAAATTTAAGGGAAGTAATCACAAAGAATAAATTCAGGTGAGCAATGCCTTGCTTCAAGGTCTCACTTTGTAAGGAGACAGCCAAGTGAAAACCTGCTGCCTTCACTCACAGCTGCAGAATTGAAATCAGACACCTCCTTCAGAGGGGCTGGTAAACACGTTTCCAAATACTTGCTTTGGGGAACATCTACACTTTTTTCTTGATTACATTCACTACTTAATCAGTGGACAATTTTAAATAGGTAAAGTTAAAATGAAGTCACTACCATAGCCAGCTGTATCATAAGAAGCATTACAGACTTGAACTCTAATGGCAAGATAAATATACAACCATAAAGGCAAAACGGGCTTTACCACATAGGGTGCGCTATTCCAATACATGCTGCAATTTCCAAACCACATTTCTTTGGGGACAGGGATAAAGAGGTACAAAAATTACTTCTTATGGACACACTGAAAACCCTAGAGTAAGACTGTGGAAAAACAATTTTCTGAAACACCTTATAGTCTAAATACACGAAACAGTTTAAAAGCGTAAGGGAAAATAAATACAGCACAAGGACTTATGCATGACTGCACAGGATGCAAAGCTCCTATTTCTTCCTTTGCTATACTCTTTAAGCCCATCTTGTCCTACATCAAGTAAAAAAAAATCACTGATTTTAATTGAAATACCTAATGGCCTTTGCTAGAGTGCGGGAGAAATTTAAAACAATATATCTCCATCTTCTCTTAACTTCCTGATGATTACATGTAAAATAGATCAGTAGTTAAAACATTCTAGACGGGTGGCTTCAATGATTTATTCCGTTCAAAATTATGATCTTTACACATGATCTGATCATTCTTGATTGCATGCTGTTCATTCAGAAAAACAGTTCCTGTGTATCAAATCTGGTAGTGCATCCTACTCCACAGATAGGAGCTTACATAAATTGAAGTCACAATCTCTGAAGCAATCTTTTCATCAAACACATGACAGTCCAACAGGGAAAGTTCAGTGGCCCAGTACAGATCATAAAAATATAGCCTCATTTAACAGTCACACTGTCTGAAATACAATCTCGGAATTTTGGTGCATAAAGACACTAGTAAATGTTTCACAGGGAAAACAAACAGTGAAAAAACTACTTATTACAGCAAAGAAAAGGAACACTCACACTCTAACTCTAGTTCTTCCATGAAAGACAGAACTATGAGAGCCCTGTGTTGGCTGTATTTGCAAGTTGAACAGAACCAGCAGTGCCCTGGCAGCCAGGAGGGCCACTCATGTCCTGAGGGCATCAGGGACAGCATCACCAGCTGGGCAAGGAAGGGATTGTCCTGCTCTGCTCTGCACTGGGGTGGCCTCACCTCCCTCACCTCGAGTGCTAGGAACAGTTCTGGGTGTCACAGTATAGGAAAGACATAAAGCTATTGGAGAGTGTTCAAAGCATGACCACAAGGATCATGAAGGGCCTTGAGGAGAAGCTGTATGAGGAGTGGCTATGGTCACTTGGTCTGTTCTGCCTGGAGAAAAGGAGACAGAGGAGACCTCATTGCGGTCTGCAACTTCCTCATGAGGGGAAGAGGAGGAGCAGACCCCGATCTCTTCACTCTCATGACAGGACTTAAGGCAACAGCATGAAACTGAGTCAGGGGAGGTTTAATTTGGATATTAGGAAAGCACTTTTCACCCAGAGGGTGGCTGGGCACTGGAACAGGCTCCCCAGGGAAGCGGTCACAGCACCAGCCTGGCAGAGTTCAAGAAGTGTTTGGACAATGCTCTCAGGCACAGGGTCTTAGGGAATGAATCTTAGGGATGATCACATGCAGGGCCAGGAGCTGGATTTCAATTATCCTGATGAGTCCCTTCCAATTGAGTATATTCTATTACTCTGTGATTCTATGTATTTCATTCTTACCCTCATTCTCATTTGTACTGTTGCTCCCATCAGCAACTTCAAAGGAAAGATGAAAGGTCCTGTGGCTAGCATGAGACTACTTTTACTTTCACTGGCTGGCTATCACACACACAAAACTTTTTAAGCACCATGTTCATGTTCCTCCCTATGGTGCACTTATTTGTCTTCTCCAGTCAATGAAAGTAACATGGAATTTTACTATCAATCCTATTCCTTTCAGAGGATTTATAGTTGAAAGGGATACACAGATAAACTGTACACTTGACTAAATTTTATTTCCATTGCAGAAAGAGTTAAAAATAATAAAGGCTGCTGCATTAAGTGCATAATTTCCTCAAATGACTTCTCAGCTATGTAGCAGCATTTTCAACACAGGAATTCTAATGGCTGTTTTTACTGGTATTTTTTTTCTTTTTTTTTTAACAGAATATCACAAGTGAAATGATTAAATACTTAACAGATACTGAACACCAAAAGAACACATCAGGTATTCTTTTTATTCAGCTGCTTTTTGAAACAGTTTCTTCTCTTGACATCAGCAACTATCCTATCTTCACTATCTACTTTTTCAAGCTTTCTCTTATGCAGAAGCTCCTCTGTGTGTCTATGAATAAATCTAAGCAGTATTTTTTCCTGATTTATAATCATCAGAAAAATAGTATTTAGGGATTGCAATCAGCTCAAACACTGATACTGCAGACTTTTTGGTCTGCATATGTCTTAGCATATCCTTTCTAATAGCAGACAAAAATGAAGTCATTCTGGACCAGCCACCAACTTAGGCAGAAATCTGGTCTTGACTATGTTAACAAGCACCCCAACCCAAAAAAGTCAAACTAGGTATTTTTCCTGTAATTAGACCAGATCATCTCTGGTACTTTGCATAGGCAAACCAGAAAATTCCTTAACGGATATTTACTTTCATATATAAGAAGATTAACAGCTTGTACAGTCAAGTAGTAAAAGATTCATGTAGTATCCCACACAAATTAAGAATCTAAGGTTATCCCCCAACACTGTCTTCTCATTTGCTTCTTTAGTAAACATCACCTTGTCAGCTGAAAAGACAAGTAGTCAGGAGAAACATTTCAGACAAAAGACCATTCTCTTATCTGCAGAGATTATTGAAAGAAAATTTCTTACATGAAAATCTTTCAGTCAGGCTTAAGCATGCACAAAACGCAGTTGGTTCATGCATTACTACAGGCCATAGGGATTTAGCTTACATATTTTACATGTGATGCACACCCCAGAAATGCTTTAATGATTTTATAGTCTTTCACTTCTTATATTAAAGTAAATTATGAACACTTCCAAAATTATGCATATCCAATTGGCTGTTTTGTTCTCCTTCCAAGAAATGGAGATGATGCACATACGCAGGACAGCAATATGCATGAAACAACTGCCTCAGATGTTATTTAGAAGATCTTCAAGCTGATTGAGATACAACCATTTGATAATTTATAAGAACAAGCATTTTTTCTAAGAAATTCAGAAGTACATGAGTAACAATTTGGCAAAACAGTTGTAATTTAAGGCTTTTTCAGATGTCCTCACAACTTAAGCTTCTCCTTTTATATAAGGAAGTCCAGATGCCAAAACTGAACTCAGATTCTAGTAAACCAATAATGTGAGTGAAACAACTATACATGAGAGAATTCTTCACTAGGTGAAGCCTGTACAGATTTATATTCTGATCAAAGTAAGGAGCCACCTGGCCAGTTACCTCCATTGACTCAAGTATGACAAAAGACAAGCACAGCCCTCAAGGTCCAAATAATTCATATCACAGTTGATGCCGTAAATGACAACTAAGAACAGATCTCACATATGAATAAGCAGTTATAGAATAGTGTAACAGTATAACAAACACCAGCAATTTTAAAAGGACAAAGCTCTCTAACTTTTGGGAACTATTTTACAAGAAAGAATAGCTAAGTAGAAGATATCAGACAATTTACTGGCATTCCTACTGTCATTTAGCCTTTCCACTCATAGCCTTCCTCTCTCTCAGTCACCCCTCCTGCACTGCTGCTTTTCTTTCTTTCAAGGGTTATAAAGTGTTGCTATATTGAATAGAAGGAATCAAAGTTTCATATCTTCTAAACCACTAAAATGATCTTATTACTTACTCAAATTCTGTGGCATAATATTTGAAGAAGCCTATTAGCAAATCTCCAAGGCTTGATCCATTTTTTGAGACGTAAGGAGGAATGGTACGTGGTGCTTGATGAACAAAATGCAACTGCATAGTAGGATCAAAACATTCCTGTCAAAATAAAATCAGAGTGTGTATATATACATATATATATATATATATATATATATATATACACAGAGATAGCCTTAACCCAGATACATGTATTTTCCACAATAAGAAAGCTGCCTATTATTTGCTTATTTTAAGTTCAAGGACAAGCCAAGGACTATTTCTCTTCTGCCTCACTGAATACTAGTTACTCCCTCTGAACTCAGGTAGAATTATCTTGCACAGGAGCATACAAGATAAAGAATTTTAACATGGGAGAATCTTTGAACTAGACTTGCATTTAAAACTACAAGAGCAAAAGCTGAGCCTGCACTGAGCTGACTGCAGTTCAGCTGAGAAATACATAGATGAAGTTAATGCACCTACTGTCAATTTCCCACAGCTTAACTGAAGTACAGAAATAATCCAGAGGAAGGCCTATCATTGCTACCAAGCACCAAGTTAAAAACTGCATACGAATGAACCTACATCCACCCACAAAATAAGCATAAAGACTGCAGGTATGACTTCCTCTAGCCAAGAATTAAAAAAAACAAACACAAAAAAACTCCAAAAAACCCCCAAAACCCCAACAACCAACAAAAAAACCCCAACCACCAATGAAGTTATATAAAACACACAAATACACAGAATGCTGCATTTCAGCTGAAGCATGCTTTTCTGTAGGGGAAGAGGGTTAGTATGATGGGGTAAGAAAAAATCAGGTTTGCTATGAAAAGAAGGCACCATTGCCAGCTTAAAAAGGAATACATACAAGACTAAATACACATGGTTTTAGAACTGCCCTGCTGTCTCAGTGTCCATTGCATCCTTTAGGTTCTTGTGATAGACTGGGGTACATAGAAGTAAACATATCTCCTCTTGCTACAGGAACAATTTTTATAACTTGCTGATACCTGGTTTTAACACCATTTTACAGCAGTGTTGTGTGTTTTACTGAAAATGAACTCAAGGTACACAGATGCAAATATTACAATCAGATAAAGACACACATTTATTTAAATTTAGGAACCTGTTCACTCATTACTGTATCTTCTTTCCCCTCCCCACCCATTCATTTTTTTATTTTTAAGAGTAGTATCAGGCGTGATTCAAATTTTATAGTACTAGAATAGCACTAGAAGCACTACATAGTGTAGTATTATTTCCATGTCCACAGCTGGCACTACTTCCTCTGAGAAAAGTACTGTTAAGTGACAAAACCAGTAGGACTGGAAAGCCTGAGACTCCCATTTTCTTTCTGTCAGCTCCAGCAAAACTTCCTGGAACCTTGTGCCACACCTTTTGGGGGGAAAAAAGCCACTCTTCTAGAGATACAAAAATTTCAATGGTTGATCTCATAAGATAAAATGTTATATGTAAAACATTATTTTAGTTCACAAAGCTCAGAATTTAACAGTTTATAGTTCATCGGAAGACACCAAAACAATGGAAACACAGACATAAAAAGCAGATATGCAGTATACAAAGATCTAGAAAGGAACAGTTGTTCCAATGCCATATAATAAACACAGTTTTAACCTGAAAGTTAATCAGGAAGATACTACAGTGAAAGTCATTCCTTGTCCATCCCCACAGAAAACTCAGGAAGAGTCAGAAAAATTGAATTTAGAATTAACAGTACACCAGCTGATGAAGAAACATACAAGGGAGAAGGGGAAAGGAAGAAGAAAATCGGCCACTGACCTAAGAAAATACAAAACAGAAGTGCAACAAAATTACAACAGATGTCTACTATGACTTGTAAGTGTTTGGAGGTAGTAGAAAAGGAAGACAAGATTCATTTTTTTAAACTTTGAATATTTAATTGTCTGAGAACCTCTCAATTGCAAGAGAATTCTGCCATCACAGTGAGGTTGATAGCCTCGACAGCTAAAAAGTTAGGCTTTATTTTATTATTTTTTTCCTAAAAATAAGCTATTTTTTTACTCGTAGACAATAAGATATCAGACAAATCAAAGATTTTCTCACTCAGAAAGGCTTTTGCTTTCAAGCAAATACACACATATTATTCTAGACACGTACATTAGTACAAACACAGGCTACAGGCTATAGCAGCTAACTATTAAAACCCTCAACGACCTAGTTTAAGAGATGCATATAAGTAATTCTCATTTCCACTTGATTTAGTGGGTATGTCACTATAAAAATTGCTCTTAAAAAGACAACTGAGTATTGCAAACTAGAAGGCATAACTGATAGGACTTTTCTGGAAGAAAATAAGACTTATTAAGGGAAACAAAAGCAATGTATTAATCACATGTTTGTGATACTGTTAGTAGGTTTATTTTTTGTGCACTGTGGGTTGCTGATTACCCCACTGAGAAGGCAAAACCAAGTGTTTCACCTTTCTGAAATACAGAAAATTTGTTATTTAAGTTGCTATTACCATATTAGAAAGTTCTACATGTAAAACCAAATTAATTGCTACTTAAAATTGGCAAGATTTAGTGACAGCTTCTGTCAAGATATACCATTATTCAGTAATTCAATTACCAACAATGTAATTTAAGGTCATTTCTTAACAAAGGAATCACTCTGTGTCCAGTAAACAAGAGGTCAGACCAGCTAAGGGACACCTAGATATTTTTTTCTGCTTTGCCACAGACAACCCATGATAATCCCCTAGCTTCAACTCATCTCCGTCCACCTGCTGTAAAACAAGGATAACAGTATTTTCCTTCCCACTAGAGGGACTCAGGGAATAACTAGACAAACAAAACAAGGTACGGCTTACAGATTCTGCACATAGGTGACGTTGCTAAAAAAATGTAATTACAAAGCACCTTTGGAAGTACATTTTCTTTCCTTAACTTGCTCTAGAAGGCAAAAAATTCAGCTTCTATTAAAAACTAGTCCCTATTTTGCTTACTGTCTCTTTGCCTCAAGTTGTCTTAAGAGAGAGAAATTAGATTCAGGATCTGATTGAGCAACAAATATAAATGAGCTCTCCATTATTTTAAGATACCACAGAAGAGAGACCTGAAAGTTTTTTGCCTTTTTTGCTGGATCTCTAATTTTTACTTTGATTGGCTGATTTCTCAAGAAATACCAGTATTCAGCAACATGCTTCATGTTCAAGCTACATAATGCTTTTAAGTATACTAATTCCACCTTACACACTGGAAAGAAACAAAAGTGTACATCAAAATAAGATTTATATTTGAGTATTTTGATGTATAGTGAGTTTAACTCTGAATGTACAAGATTCCTTGTTCAAAAAAATTAAGTAGTTACATCAGCATAATGTCTTAACACAATTAAAATATTCTTTTCCCCAGTCCTATAAACGAGTACTTAACTCATATTTAAATATTTTAAAAGTGCAACTCAGTGTGAAGCAAACTGCGTCTTTCCAAGGGCTGACTCTCATGTTAAGGACCATTCCACCTTCTGCCCCACCCTTTGCAAGACATGACATGAAGCTGAGGCAGCAGAAACAAAAATGTGCTCATGCTAGAGTCCTTGAAGTTCACCATCCAGAGCATTCATGGAAACCCAATTTCATCTTGACTTCAGTTAAAACATCAGACTTCTTGAAACAGTGGTGAGTCAGGCACAAGTTTCCTTGTGAGTGCCAGTGAAAGCCATGTTCACCAGCCACAACAGTTTAATCCACCACAGGTTCTCTAGAGATTATTCATGAAGTACTGACATGGAAGCACATACTATATAGACTTCAAAACTGATGAATGCACTTGGTCGGCTACTGTCATCTACCTTACCTGGCTAGGGGGCATGGGAAGCCCCAGAATACAACCCTGCATTTGATGTGGTCTGATACTCCCTTTAAACTAGTGGCTGCTAAAACACATCAGCTCGGTGCCAGCTGGAAACTACCAAATTCTATGACAATAGAATGCAAAAGTGGGCAAATCTGGTGGCTTTCCATGACTTCTCACCCTTCACATTTGTAGCAGGGATTCACTGAGGCACAGAATCTGTCTTTTGTTTCCTCCTCTATGTAAGCATGTCTCTCCTATATGGTACCAACAATTTAAGATAAGCAGTTTCCTCCGTATCACGGAAGTATTTTCAGGCTGCAGATTTGATTTTGAAAAACTGTGTGTAGATGTACATAGGGAAGTTGCAGTATGTTTGTATAGTTTTTGTATAGAGACACAACTCTGACCAGCTACAATCATAAGAAAAATATATGGTTTCTTTTGATAATGAAATTTGCCCGTGCTTTTTAATTATTACTGCAAGCCACGAGAACCAAAATTGTTTTGCTGTATTTTTCACTTTAAATTCCTCTGAAATATCAGTATTCAGAAATTTCAAGTTTCATAATTTTTAAACATTTAATTATATTCCTAATGGAGACAGTAGATCAAAAACATACTTGCAATTTGGTTTGCAGTAAGCAAGCATAAAATATTCTTCTGATCTTGTTAGCAATTCTAGAATATTTCATCAATTCTCCAAATATAAGAAAGAACAACACCAAGGATAATCTACATCAAAACAGGGCAAAAATGCAGTTCTTACAGCAGTGCTCACCTGCAAGTCATTTACCATTTTCACACAACACAAGATAAAACTTTGCATTTACATTAATTAGATTTTTTAGCTTAAGTAGTATATACATTTGCTTTAATGACTGAAGGCATTAATATTTCTACAGTATTCTGAAGGTCTCCACAAAGTTCGAACACAACAAATATAAATATCTGCATTATAAATACAGAAGAGTCAAAAGTTGTCAGTTGTAAACACTTTTCTCTAAATAACATGCTACACAAAACTTAGAACACTACAGCACATAAACTTTAAGGAAATGTAACTAGCAAATCTAGCAATTCAAAAAGCTATCAGATAAAGCTAAGGATACAAGAAATGAAAGATAGTTTCAAAAACTCTTCAGCACTCCCAATGAAGAAACTAGAAGGTATAGAGTACCATAAAAAAACGACAGGAAAAGATAAAGACCATAAAAATATAGCACAGGATCCCTTAAGCAGATTTACAACACATAAATAAAACTGCAGTGAATTATTGCTCAATGCTTTCTTTTGCATCTCAATTATCTCAATTACCCAAAATGGCTGACACCACAGTATTTTCTCTCTGATGTTCAGAACCACTAAATATTCCCATTTGAGCATTTTTTGTTAATAAATTACAGCATAGAATTATTCAGCAATAGCACTTCTGTGCACAGGTAAATATTGAGGAGGGCAGTTTTTACTTCTAGATAATTTTTCTTAGATTAAATCTCACTATTACACTCCTAACTCTGGAGGGACCAAAGCATACTGATTCATTGACCTCTCCAGAAATGAACAGATTATAATCTGACTACAACAGCAAAGTTCCAAAAAAGTGCTTTCTTTTTGGACTGAAGTCAAATGTTGTGATGTCTCAAGTTTCCTTAGTAAACCATGTATATTCACTTTCTGCACATGAAAATACCAGGCAACTCAAGAGCTGTAGGAAGGTAAGGAATTCTGAAGCAACAGAGCTGAATGAAAAAGCACTACTTAACACATGAAGATACAGGAACCAGAAAGTTATAGCTGACACAGGAATATTTCTAGGTCAGCATAAAGAGAATTAGGTCAGCGGTTTTCATTAGCACTTTCTTCTAACTGTGTGTCAGATCTTCCCATACATAACAATTTTCATTAAAGAAATTACCAAAAGCAGCAAATAATCTTTTTCACACCTAGGTCTGGCATATCAATGACCTGATCTACTGGAACTGTTAATTCAACTTAATCCAGTTAGAGATAGTTAAGAATTCATATATTTAGATAAGCAGGGTCACACACATATATGATGTAGTAAATCCATAAGAAACACTTACTGGGTAATTTTTTTGGAGGGATGGAAGGATGGGTTCAGGTAAGGCTATAAAAAAAAGGTGAAAGTTGCTGTGATTCAGGTAATTCACATGGAAGCAATATCATATCAAATAAACCAAAGAGTTGCATTGAAATTCTATCTTAAAAACATTTATCAATAACTTCACTTTCATGCATTTTGTAAAATAAGTTATTTGGGAAACATTTATATTACTGTATTTAGTACTGTACAGTACAATAGGACTTTTATTCAGCTAATGGAAGGTCTTACCAAGATACTACTATATATAAAAGGCACGAAAAATTCTATAGCAGCTGGGTATAGCTTTATTCTGAAGTTCATATTCAGAATTCATAGCTATAGAAAAATCATCTAGATTCCCTAAATGAAAAATTAGAGCTTCACTCATCTTTTTTTCCTTACATCTAATACAATTCTATGAACGAGTCTACAGTTACTGCAGAAGAACGTGTTTTTCAGCTGCCAAGTATTACATAATGAGTCTCCAAATGTAACCTATTAAAAAATGCTCAACACACTTAGCAGGCATTGCTAGCAAAATTCCCACAAAATACACAAATACAGTTTAATAGTATTAGCTGGTCTGCTAAACGGCAGATATGTTATGAAGACCATGCAGTCATTAACAATACTAACAAACACAAAATTATCTAAATATTGGTCACTTTTATGAAAACCATGGATTGGGAGTGCATCTATTGAACTATATAAATTAGACACATTAAAAAAAATCACTGTGATTAGGTGGTCTTGTAGATGAATCAAAATCCCAAAGTAATTACAACCTACTCAAGCAGCTCTAGAACTGTCAGAGCACTCCTCAAACTAAGGCTTTAACATCATGTCTTCAGCATGGTTTAAGAAATTGGTCTACAATATTCACTATGGAAAATAAACTCAGTACACAGGTCTTGGACTTGGGACTTAGTTCACTCTTTTATAAGGTCTTACAGGTGAAGAGATGTCACAGAATCCCTTTTCCATAGGGTCTAAGAATCAGAACAGCAAAATTCTTAGAATGTGCTTGGAATATCTTCAAAGAGTAGAATATACTACCAGGACTGCTAAGAAAATTACCACAGCTGCTTCAATAACATTTTTGTTTGTGGGTGTTCATGTTTCTGCAACATCTTGTATACTTTCCAGTTCTCTACCACATAAATTAAAAGGCAACAAAATCTGAGCAAACAATCAAGGTGTTGTATATCTAGGTGTGTATGCTTTAGTAAGCTTTACTACGAGGATGGATGGGAGGGGAAAAATTAACACCACTAGCATTTGCCCTATGAGTTTCCTTTTCTTACTGTTCAAGTTAATTAGACATATTATGTGGAAGAAAGTTCATGTACAAGATACTGATGTATCTATAAAATAAACTCAAGCCACACTAAACTTGTGTCCAAAGACATCTACATTAGTATAAGAATATAATAAGTATATTATTATAAGTATAATAATAGGGAAATAAGTATAGAAAATAAATTTGCCTAACAAAGGCAGGAACACTAGTGCAAAAGAAAGGTATTCTTTTTTTCTCTCCACAATATCAACAAAAATACTATTAGAAATTCTAGGACACACTATTAGAAATTCTAGGCTATTTTCAGGAACATCACATGCATATAGCAGGAGAAAAAAGCTTAAAACCTGCATGAATAAAATATCAGAACCTAAAAATCTGATGCTTAGATGCATGTACAGGGTACAGGGCCACACCTCAGGGTCTTTTTTTCCATGCTTTTTTTCCCCCCACAGAAAAGGCTGAGGAAGCACAGGTAGAAGGCTCCTCTTTGGTTTCTGGTCTGCTGATCTTCCCAAGACAGCTGACTGATCACAGTTTTGCATGAAAAAAATGGCAGCTGCCAGAGATGACTACTTATGCATTTTTGTGACGTAGTACTTGAGTTTATTTTATAGCTACACAGTGTCCTCCAGGTACATTTTTTTTCCAAACTTCTTTAAAGGTGGTAACTCTTTAAAGGTGGTAACTCTGTCTCCAAAGAGCAGGTCCACTTGTTAAAGACAAATGCAACACTAAAGAAATGGAGTAAAATTCACTTTACTTTAAAGTATTTCTGTGTAGGAGATACTTGCTTCATTAAAGAGGAAAACTACACAAATATGAACTTAAAAGGGACAGTTTACACATGTAAAAAATACTTACTCTGTAAATAGTGCAAAACCATCAACACAAGACTATAGCTGCTTAAAGTACCACGACTGGCATCATTTATGTCATGGAAACTTGCCCACTTCTTAATAACAAGTACTAATGGACGAACTCGATTCTCAACTGCAAGTAAAATAAACACATCTCAAAAAAGTACATTTAACTAGATAGCAATTAATCAACATTTGCTCTTACTTGATCAACATGATAGTTTTCTATTCTAAGGTTACATTCTACAGGCATTTTATAGAATTTACTTACAGAATTCTCCAATTACTATCCATCCTATAAAAATCAAAATATAGTACTTGCATTTGCAAACAGCCTTTTGAGTAGTAAAATCCACAGACACACCACAAGAGGTATACTAGGAAATTTGCAAAGCGTCTTTCTACTTCTAAGGTCTCTCCAGTTCATTGTACCAATTTTCCCTGAAAAAACTTGCTGCCAGGAAAGACCCTATGTTATTTTTCAATTTAGGCTATAAAAACTTGGAAGGCAGGGAAAAGAATTATTGTGGCTGGAGGACACAGCTGATTCTAAAGTTTACATCAGGATACATGACAGCAGTAATCCCTGCATACCAACACAAATTATAAATTTGCCCTGTCTTCAATAGCTTTTTATGCAGATGACATGTTAGATACAATATGTCTTTAAATTTATATATATGCATTTCATGAGGAAAAACATAAATGCAGCCATAAGCCATGTATGATCTTTTGAATTTCTGCTGAATATAGATAACCTTCTAATTGAAGTATTGATCTATGTAGGTAAACACCACCCACCACAAACTCCTGGGACTCTGCAGAATAGTTTATTATTTGCAGGTATGCAGAAGCAGATCATCAAAAAAAGCTTATACATTCTGGAGTACTTTTTCTAACCTGACATCATCATACAAAGATTTTGTATTCTGCTTATCAGGACCCGAGGACAAAAGACATCCTACAACTGCATCAGCTGGGGCGCTCTCAGTTATTCTGTAAAACTATCAAGCATGATATTCTCACAAACATATTTTTCTTCAACATATTTAGAGTGGTTCAGCACATATGCCCATGGAACTGGTACTCTTCTCAGAATTTATGTCCTACTACATCTGGAACACCTTCTGGAAACAACCAAACTCATTATTGCTCACCAGTGGTTAAACTAAAAAATGTAACTTAGTACACCAATTATGAGATGCCAAAAAAGTACTGTACAGATACCACATGAAGATGCATTAATTGGAATAGAATTTTTCCATGAGAGAAAAATGCAAATAGGTTCCAGTTTCAAACATAGCTATTTTGTGTCACAGCAGAAAAGATCTTTTTTTAGTTGACCTCATTTTGAGATATTAAATTCTGTCTCCTGGTGCATGTAACTAGCATATAACAAAGTAAATGTGCAACATGGCAGTAAACTTTGTCTGATACTTCAATACAAGCTACCTCTCAAGAAAATGCTCAGTAATATTATTTGCACAAAGCTAAAAAGTCTAGCCTCCACTAACTGAAAAATATCTAGCAAAAACTGGTGATTAATCACAGACATGCCCCTTTCCACAAACTGCTGGTAACGTAACAGCACAGACTTTGCCTTCTAGCTCTGCCTAATCTACCTACATTTTCTGCGGACGTTTTGTGTTAGCTTGCCTTATCATCCTCAATTTTTCATGCACCAACACCAAAGAGTTAACTTCAAAACAGACAGAAGAGCATCCACAGAAATTTTTGAGTTTTAGCTTTTTTATCATGTTCACTAAGATGGTCCCTTGTTTGCTTGAGCATCTAATTTGTTCCAATGGAAAACAGACCAATACATCTTCCACATTAAAGGTAATTTGATAATTTTTTCCCCTATTCAGGTTGAAGGCCTTAAACTACACATGGACCGTCAACTACACATTTAAGTGAGCAGGATAATACATATAAGGCTATCCATCCTTGCTCATATGACTTATAAAAAGTATGGAGTTCTGTGTGCGCTATGTCACCTGAGTTTTCTGATCTAAGGAAGACAAGACAGACAAGGTATATGCTGTATGATATTTAGGAAGGTCCAGAACATTAAGAAGACAATGTTTTCAATCACAGGTCTCCCTTTGCTATTAACTCACTCCTTGACCTCAAGAAATATTATTTGCCTTCACCAGGAAACATGAAGTTAACTTTGCTGGCCTTATAAAGTGAGCACCACAGCAGAACAGAAGAGAAGGTGGGATACTAGGACTGTTTCTACTGCTCTTTTCACATCTGGACTTGTCTGCCCTGCAGTGATTTTCTGACAAAAAACAATGTGTAACAGAAGCTACAAACAAGTACATCAACATTAGACTTTGTGAAGTGACTGACTGCTCAATGATTACTTCCTAATATTTTTAGTACTTGGAAGCAAATCCTTTCCCAGTCATACACTTTCTTGAACATATGAAGAAATTACAGTTAACCAACTGATCCGGGACAAGTTGTAGACTCTCCTAGTAACATGAATATGGAACACAAACTAGTTTAACTGAAATATTAGTAAAAACTAGTGAAGGCAGCTTCTATTGGTAACTGCCTACCCTAAATAGAATGAAATTCCTTTATGCAAGAACTGAACAAGAGGGTAAAAGGAATAAATGCAAATGCCCTAGAAGAAAAAGGCTGAGGCACACTCCTTTATGTACTTATCTGACAAATGACATTGCAATGCTAAGAAAGAAGCTCTTAGTTTACCACTAAGAGTGCTGGTGTTATTACCTTCCTTTCACAAGGCTGTTTCACAATCTCTCCCTAAAATGCAAACTCCTGAGCAGACACAAACCAATTTTGATTCGGGATTAGTATAAATACTGAAGCAGTATTTTGGATTTTCCAAGCAAAGACTCTGCAACAGCAAATAGACATAGCTGGCTATCAGCCATCCATACTGTCATTGGCTGTAAGGAAATAAAAGAAGCTGGAGATTATACCACTAGATAACCATTACTATCATGATCTTATTATCTGCAGAATACCTGAAGTAGCCCTTGTAGTAGATATATGGACCTGAATATGAAAAATCTTTTTTATCTTCTGAATATTATAATATTTAGTTAAAAACATACAGCTGTTTTCTCCATGTATTTAGAATGAGCAAGAAGAATTTAAAGCCACTTAATGTAGCTAAATAGGTAATTATATATATAGTAATTATTAAATTTTCATAGAATATCAATACTAAAATACAAACTCTAAAAGCAAAGGTTAAAGAAATAAGAAAATACAATAAAAACTTACTGAATGCATAGCTTCTCAGAAGGAATGTATTTCTTATCCCTATCACATTGTTTACATTCAAGTCGAAATCCACATTGCTATTAGGGAGACAAAAAAAATGAAGCATCATGGTATTTAATTTCTGCATGTTTACTACCTACTTTATGACAGATGTAGAGAAAAGTAATTTTAATATAAAACTCTAGAAACTTTCTTCAGAGTTTTAAATGCTGTGATTTAGTTTTGTTTATAGCACCTGAGCCACTTAAAGACTTGAACTCCTTTGTTATAAAAATGTTATTGTTGTTTTAAATGAAGAATACATGTAGATACAAATTTAGACTTTAGGACAACTTAGGATATCTTTCTTAATTTTTGCCAAATCTTTCTCCAACTACACTTGCAATACATTATTTATTACAGACAACTTTTGATACCAGGAAGGATTCTCTGGGGTATTAGTTTAGGATGAACTGAGAAAGAGAACTGGAAGAGGTCAGAAGGTAAGATCAAAGGCTTGTCAGGAAGCAGAACCAGCATTAGAATAATTTCCTGGGAAAGACTACCAAAAAAAATATGGTAAGTTTTTAAGTGCAGTTGATCTTCTCTTATTTTTACAGCACTATAAACCCCCAAGTTTAAAGGTTATAAAAGAGAACAAATACAAACTGAATGCTTTCTCATTCACTGAATCAAAGTAAGGGGAAACAGCCATTTTCACTTGTATACAAAATAAATATTTCAGTTATTGGTAACACATTAGAATGTTCATCTCCAGATACAGAGATAACACCCATCAAATTCAACCACCTTCCCCCAGCATCTGAAAAAAACTCCCAACAAAAAATCAGCTCTCACAGGAAGCTTGTAATGTTTAGTTTCAATTTTGGCAAAGACAGGCCTAGTGCCCTAGGTACAGGATATCCAATCAATTTTTCAAGACCTCTGTGAAAAAATGCATGCATATGCATTTTTTGTACATCTTAGCCTACAAAAGACAAGAGACCACTAAAAGACTAGAAAGAGACAAATGCTTAAATAAAAAGACAAAACATGGTGGTGACAGATTATGTAAGAGTAAGATAACTGTAAAGACAGAAAACAAAAAAAAATTAACTACAACCAAAAAAATCCCAACCCAAAACGATGACATTCACCACCACTCCTCTTCCACAAAAGCAATGTGGAAGATGGAAAATCAGATGGCGAACAATACTGCTGTTTACTCTGCAAAAATATAATGTGCTGCTTCTAGTCTGAGAAGATCACACTTTGATTTAGTGGGAAATAAAGAGTTCTTTAAATCCTATCTGTAAGGTATACAATTATCATGACTTATTTTTTGAAATCACTGCTTACAAAAAGACTTCAGTCTTCTCACACAATCACTTCTATCTGTTCCACACTAAAGGTTTCTTTTTAAAAAAGTTTATTTTCTTAATTTAAATTGGGGAAAAAATATTCTTGCTATAATCCCATAACTCATTCAATATTTGGACCAGGAATGTATAATTTCATTTATATACGAAGACTAGCACTGCTATATGTAGGTAATCCAAATAACCCAAATTTTAGCTTGACAAGTATCATCCTTCCAGGAAGCATGAAAGAAAAAACCTTCTGTACTGTTAGAAGAGAAAGTAAAAAACATTCAAATTTTTAAAAGAAGGTAGGCAATTATACTCAAGTAAAAATGGGACTGGGTGTAAATGAAGAAAAAAGTGTAAAGTGAAAACTCCAACAAGTGTGTATAATCTCAGATGAAACAAAAGCTTCAACTGGTGATAGAGTTTAGTTCAAATTATAAGCATGAAAGATTTAGTTTTATCAGGGTAGGAACCTAGCCATGATAAAGTTATACCATGATAAAAACATGTTGTGATATGCTTTCATAGGGAGAGGCCAGAGAAGTATGCTTATTTGTTTTTAAAAGACAGAGACAGGGTTACAAAATTTTAGAACTGTACAGACAGGTTAAGAGAGCTACATTAAAGTTTTTCAAAGTCCAATTTACAAAGAAGGATCAAACTATGTTACTATAGGAAACTGATAAATATCAGTGTTACAAAACTAAGCCAATGAACATTACTCAGACTATCAACACATTTCAGTGTTTGCATGACTTTTTCCTGTCAGATACTTTTATCACACACAATAAGAAAGACATCATTATCTGTCCTAGTGCAATGCACTAAATTATTCTCATGTCTTCATAACGAATATACAATGAATACAACAAAATATCACCACAAACTAGTTTGTTTCAGTGTTGTTTGTATAGCTCAATAGTTATGTCTGCACAGCAAGCAAAATTATATTTCACAACAGTTTTCTTCCTACCACTGTTTTTCTGTCAAACCATTTGTTAACTTGGAGTCCACTATGTACAAATAACCCACCAGAAATAATTCACATCACAGGAACTAAATAGTATCTCAACCATAAGAGGTGATTCAGACCATCAAGGCAATAAGCTGACTGCCACTGCATGCTAGCTCTACAAACTTGTGATAACAACTACAGCACCACACAAATAAACATACAAAATGGTGGGACTCCTTGTAAGGGCAGTACACATATAGAATGCTTTCCCATATCAAAGTCTAAAAGATTAGGCTGAACAGAATACTTGCCTGACTTTATCCCTGAATTTCACTATTGGCACTTTTGCTCTGATCAGCTGAGGTCGCTCAATGTAGCTTGCTGAAAGGGAGGAAAATATGCAATTAAGTTTCATGCAAGATGCAGATCTTAATAAAAGATCCTGTAATAGAATCTAATTGACTGATTTATAGCAAATAGCAGCTTATTAAATTTAGCAGGGTTGTACAAAACTAAGTAACCTTTAGCAACTGTAGCAAAAAAACAACCTATGAAAGCAGGTGGAACACCCCCCACACTAAACATTAGAGAAGAAGTAGAACATTAAAGACTGAGGGAAATATATTCCAGAAATTTTAACATAAGGAATGCAGTACTACAATGCTTTCATGGAACAGTACTTGTAATACAAATCCTGAATTGCTATAATTAAGGTACAAAAATAAAGGAGGAGAAATATATCTAACCAGGATGGGCTAATGATAGGCTCAAAATTTGTTTTGAAAACTGTTCATTTGAATTATAAACTACATACCAGGAAGTGCTACTGAAAACATGATAATGCTTTCTATCAAAGATGGGGTAAGCTTTATCTGCCTTATGTTTTAATAGTGATAGGACATGCAATAAATCCACACTGATGATGATTATCAGATGATTACCTACACAGTATGCTACCAAATGCACCCTCCACACCCAGCTCCCCAAAGCTGTTGCATCAGCCATACTGTTGTGAATTCCCTAGATTTCATTATACTTCAGCCTATATTCAGTAGCTTCCCATAATCCTGAATGAATACTGTGACCAAGAAAGCAACAAAGAAGAAAGAAAGGTAGGAGCCTGTAGGTTGTATGGTATTAATTTGGTCAAAAGGTGTGATTTTAGTAGTTACTTCTGTTGCCAAATCTAGGACCACTTGAATTTGTCCATATCCAACATCATATATTTTCCCATTGTTTTTATAAATTAACCTCAGATTAGCATAAATAAGCATGCACAGTACAAGTAATACAGACTAAAAATAATCTTGAATAAAATGATTTTTTCTTTCCCTCCAGAAAAAGCAACAAGGTACTTCTATCAGCTGAACATCCAGCATAATCTCCCTTGCTTTTGCATGATAAATTCAGATTTGGTGGAACAAAATCTGTGCAATACTCAATTAAAACAAACCTTTTTTTGAGATTTTCTGAAATTGTCTTGTGGCTATGCATGTTCACACAGATTTGACCTGAGGCAATCTTTTATCTGGATTTTAATGCATCAGACAAGCCTATGCAACACACAGACTCGCACTCAGAATAAAACACAATCTTACTACTTTACTGATGTTAAAGAGAGAATCTTAAATGAACAAATTCAATTCATGCTCACTGTCTGCTAAATTAACACAAGCATCCCCTCTTTCTAGCTGCACCTTCCGACACATCCAGGCATCTGTCCTCCAGCAGAATATTTTTAAAGCGAGAGTCTAAAGCATGCAGAGCTCTCTGCCTCCTCTCTTTTCACTAACAAATTTATGACAAAGATTCCCAATGCACTAACACATGGTAGGCAATGGTAGATGTCTATCTGTATACCACAGCAATTCAACTTTCCTCACTTTGACCCTTACCAATGCTCTTCAGAGGTTAACTGAACTCATTCAAGGGACAATCCACTTCCAAACACATCCTTGTCTGCAAATGCCTCCCTACACTTGATGGATGCTTGTGTCAAATTAGCTGGCTAAAAAAAAAAGATACATTCCAAAACATAATCCCAATCTGTTTCACAGGGTGGTAGAAAGCAAGGAAGAAGACAGAAGAGGTAAGAAGAAGCTAGAAGCAGCAACTTCCTGCTGGTATCCTCTTTCTTGGCTCAGACCAATGATGCTGTCAGCAGAATCTATATTGTACCTTACACATATATACAGGGGAAGTAACAGTCACAAATACAGGGTGTGGAATTCTTGAGGGTGGAGTAAGAGCCTTAGTAAACTGACTATGTGATCATGAAAGCTGTGACCAGAGACGCTACACTAAAATACATGAAAAGAAATCTGTACAGCTGCTCCACAGTTTTAGGCATGTCTATGGAAAGGTCATGAACACCACTTCAGCTCAGCAAAAAAGAATCTAAGTGGCTTCAAAGAAGACTAAGCATTGCTTCATATACAACTTAATCATGCAGAATTTCAGACTGAAGAGCTTAATTCCCTCTCTTCTTTTACATAATGAAAGATTAAGCAATTGTACAGAATATTAATCCCAAACATGGCATATGCCAAAAAGATCTTTGACATCCTGTGCACAAAGCCTGCTCTTATTGATTTGGTTATACTACAGAAGGAGAAACACAGAAGTCTGAATCCACATTCATGAAGAATCTAGGAAGGTACAACCCACCACAGGACGAAGCAACTGCTGATTTTTTGGAATTCACTCAATGATCTGCACAGCCCTTCAAAGTCATTCAACTGAGTTCAAACTCCTTTGCTTGCCCCAGCTGTTACACATTTCCCACTAGACCACCATTAGGCAGATTCTACTCTGATACCCTAGTCTCAATGCTACTGTACCTCTTTGTAAATCTAAGGAAAAATGAGCTCTTGGCTATTTATGCAGATAGTAAATATTTGTCAACCTAATACTATTATGGTATTCTTCAAATGAATCCCACATAGATGAATCTGAAGTGGGGAATCAGTCTGACATCAACTCTCAGTGGTTTAGATATACACAAAAACAATGAATAAAATATCAGAAGCTTTTTCCCACTTTTCTCTGTTATTAGACTATTCAAAAACAGAAGACATTTTATTTCAATTGGTATTCTAGATACAGAATGACAACACAGAAAAGCCTCTGCTATAAGACTTAGAATCTGATGGACTAAAACTCCTTGCTCAGGAGTTTTAGTCCATCAGATGCCCTCAGACTTGTTACCTTTTACAAACCTGCAACAAGTTAGAGTTTATACAAATTTTGAATCCACTTCCCAAACCGCCTAATCTAATAATCACATTCAACTCCATATGAAGGATAAAAGACATGACACTCAAAGTTTTGAAAACAAAACAAACTGTGAAAGGGACTGATCTAATTTACACTTGGAATGCTTCTTCATTTATCCATCATAGAATTAAGATGAAATAACCACAGAACCACACTTTTACTGTCCTTATGTTGGAATGCACAGGAACACTGCAGACAGCAAGAACAAAGAAGGAAATGTTGCAAGAGGCACAGATAGAAAAAATTTCTCCCAAGTTTCTGAACCAAAGTGATTTGGAAAAAGGTTAAAGATCTAAAACTTTACCTATGCCAGCCTCCTTATTTCTTTTTGTCCTTTAACTCTTCCAAAAAAACAGAGCAAGAACTTATTCTAAATAGCATCTTATATCTTCTCCCTGTTGTTGTTTCTCTTACATCTTGGCACACACTTTTCTAGCTTTCATGTTTGGCCCACACTATGTTTATTTCCATTCTCTCCTGTGAAGCAATAGTAAGTTTTATGAGTGCTCACACACTTGTTTAAGAACATGCTGCAGTCTCTCTTCTACAGAAGAAAGAAAGAAATACTTAACTAATATTGCCAGAGAGGTATTACCTTAAAATTATAGGATAGTATCATGTATGCTAACAGCAAAAATTTGAAAATAATTACCAGCAGCTTCATACATTTTAGGTAGACAGGCTCTCCTTGATTTATAGTAAGCACTACTGAGAACAACTAAAACTTCAGTGTGTTACCAACACTATTCTCATATTAAATCCAAACCACAGCACTGCATCAGATACTAAGAAGAAATTAACTATCTCACCTGAAACCAGGACACCTCCTGTTCAGAACTACTTAACCTTGGCATAACTCAGCTATAGATTGTAAATTAGCTAAATCTAGGTGTAAAGACCCATGTGCCAAAGCCTTTTGGTTTTGAACATTTTTAACCAACCTTTGTCTATTAGTTCTAGTCACATAATGTCCACACACAGACACAGGACGGACTGCTACAAATAGGAATTAATGCCACAGTGATGTTAAGATTCTGAAGAGATGATGTAAGAGGACTACATACCACAACTAAGGGAGCCTGACAGGAGTGGTAATCTCAGCAGTGCTTTGTCCTGTCTTACCTTCCATAGAATATTTTGATTAAATCAGGCTGACTTGCACTTGCAAGGTATCAGAAAATTACAAAATCAAAAATGGGCAAAAGCACAAATCACTTGGGGATCACTTGCACATGGCTATCATACCTTTCCAATACAGGTAAACAAACCTGATTTTGTCTAAGCCTTTGTTACAGAACAAGAGCTCTTGAGAAAGACTGCTCATTTAGAAGCTTCTTGAACCCTGAAAACACACCTACGTTATCACTGTGCTATCAGAAAGCACTGCACCACAGACAGAGAGAGCTGCACCACAGACAAACCCAGATTAATTTTCAGACTTACGCAAATGTCAATAATCTGTAGTAATAAGCATTAAATATCAGATGCCTACCCAGCAATAGATGTATCAAGTCTTTCTTCCATGTGAGCTGTTAAAATCTGTGCATGCATGCTTGCCAATGAAGAAATTTTGAAGTCTGCATTTAAACTTATGGTTTGTTCATTTTAGCACTGCAGGACTGTTCAAAACATCACTATAAGGACTAGCATCAAAGAATATACCACAAGTCTGGGAAGCAGGGTGATAAAGTCATTGATACCAGTAAATGTAAGAGTATTTTATAATTCAAAGGAAGATATAAAAGCCTCTTTGAAGTAGAAGGCTTTCACATTTAAGTCAAGATCTACCCATGCGAATTCTTAATCTGAAGAGAGTCTAAACAATAAGCTAAAGAAACTATGAATTGATATGTTTTATCTGTATGTACTGGTACTGTCAACATTTATTACTTTCTTCATTAGGCACATAAGTTAATTACTTCTCAAAAGAAAAAAATCAATTCTACAGAGTCTACTGTGAGTGACATCTTATTTTACAAATTCTTAAGAGTATTTTTCCCAGGAAGACACTGCAATCTAAGATATTACTAAGAGTTCACTAAGAGAGGTTTCCCAAAAAGAACCTAGATTAGAACCTAGACAAGATGCAATTACATACATTAACAAGATGCAATTACAACTGAGCATCAACACTTCTTCCAGAACTGCCAATAATCTTACTACCTCGCTTTAGATGGTAACTTACAAAGTTTAGTACAGAAGAGTTTTTGGACTAAGCTGAGTATACGTCTTGCTTCAGTCTTCTGATTCACCTGAAAGTGGTATTAAAATTAATGAAAAATTTTGGTATCTCTCATTTAAATATTCAAAGTAAGCATGCTTTGGTTTTAAAATGAAATTTGTTCTCAGAATAATACATGAACAAGTACACCAACACATTCTACAGCCTACAGACACATTTATCACAGTAAATGCCAGACAGAACAATCCATACTCAATATGCAAAGTGATTAACAGACATCCAAAATCACAGACCTAGATGAAAACCTAGCCCCATTTACACAAAAATGCCCTCTTTTTCCCTTTAAATTATGCTTAAATTCTTTCAAGATTATGGTCTATTTAAATTTCTTTCAGATATCCTTTCTGTTTACCTAATTTCTACTCATAACATTTTTTCTCACTAAAAATGTTTAAGATACTAAATACATTTTTATGCCTGATCACTAAAATTGGTACCTATGACTCTAAACAATAAGAAACTTTACTTATTAGAAGTTGTTTCTGCACCTAAAAGAGTTCTCTAAACAGTTTTCTTCATCATTCTAGGCATCTGCTTCCCTTTTGCTCTATTTTTGCACTTATGAATTGAAGGTAAAGCTTTAAAAAATAAGTTTTGTTAGGTTGATAGGGTTTAATTCTTATCTGCACATTAATGGGCTCAAAGTTTGTGGCTATTATGAGTGCAAAACTATGTTATTAAATCAAAAAGATTTTACCATTTTTTTATGATTTCGGGATCCAGCCTTTTAACAGCACATACATAAAACCAGACTTTGTTTTAACTACGTATGTTTTAAATTACTTACTGGCTCTTCTTTAATCACCAGGCACAAATCACCATCACTAGTACGAGTGCCAAATCCATTCAGTGAGGACCCAACCAAAAAAAGTCTGCTCTCTGTAATAGAAGAGTAACAAAAAATAAACATGATGTGACATATTACAGTTTGAGAGGAAGGAAGAATCACAAACTTGAAGAATATGCAAACTGATATAAAGTAATTAGATTCAAAACGTACGTGGAAAAATTAGCTGAATTTCTCTCTGGAGTTCTGTTCTGCAAAGCTCTTTTCTGTCCAAATCAATGGCCTGTTGTCGACATGCTTGAAATAACTCCAAAACCTGTTTACTTAACTGGACACACACATACAAAAAGTAAAGACACAGCAAAGTGAACATTCTTTCTTGTCACAGATGCAATTACATGAAACACAAAGGGTTGGGTTTTTTTAATGCAAAACCCAGCACCATTACACATGATCAACTCCACTGTCTAGAGTTTTACTGCACTTAAATTCATAATTAATAATTCCTTTTAAAAATTTCTGCTAAGTTTTTAAATTTAAATTTGTTCCATTTGTTATAAAATGGCAAATCAGAGAAAATAATTTCTGCATCATCAGTATATGCAGTATTTCAGGGAATAAGTAGTGAATGACCAGAGACATCTCCTGCTGACTTTAATGTCAACAGTTTGCCTACCAGTAATAGGGAGAAAAATATCATTAAAAAAAACTGATTTAAATTAGCTTTCTTTTTTATCCCATATAAACTAATTAAGAAGTCAGATCTTTGTTGGAAGGAGTACTGACTGTTTTCCCTTCCCGCACTGTTACATTCTATAATCAACAGGCATATTTACACTAAAAAACCCAAAACCCTTCTGTCATGTGTATGCAGAACAAGAAACAGTTCTCAATTCCATTCCATTCTCTTCTATATTCCAGAACAGCTATGACAGTAACTTTTATGCTTTCTTGAAAAGAGGGAGCAAACATCTTTACAGGCCAAATACTGCATCTATTCAGAATGGGCTTCTCTCATATTACTACAGTGGGGTTTTACAAGGAAACAATACCCTGACTTCCCCTGCCACCACAAAAATGCTTCAAACCCAAGCAAAGACAAGGAGGTGATACAGAACAACAGTGGCAGCTACACTTATTGACACTCCTTCTAATGGCAGCTTACCAATAGATAGCCCATGATACTGTCAAAAACACTGGTAGAAATGTTTGTGGTCTCCTACAGTACCTCTAGATTCTGCATACTCAAAAGGCAGAAGTAAAGCACAGGCACAGAAAGCCATTACCTCGTCCTTGGCAACAGGGAGCCTGGTTTCTGTAGGATCTGGAAACAAAGTATCTTGCAAAGGAGGGACCCATCCAATTAAGGCTGGTGAGCCACTCGCATGCACCCCTGGAGACTGAACTGAAACTGATGCTGGGAAGGAGCGTCTATGTTCTTTTGGCAAAGGCACTGCTTGGTTAACTACAGCTGTATCAGAATCATGTGAATGAATCCGCTGCCGTTTGGCGTCATCTGGAAGACTCTGTTGACTTTGTCTCCTAGAGAGAGACACTGTGTAATTCCTCTAGTTCACAAGCTCTAACTTACGATTAAAAGACAGTTTCTACAAAGTTCAAATACTAACACTTAATGACATAACTACTTCACTAAGCCCAAGTATGCTACAGAACATGTGTGCCCATCCTAGGTACTTTGTGAAACAAACCTGGAATGGGAAAAGAGAACATAAAATCGCAGAAATAAAGCTACCCGAGAACTGGATTGATGCAATTCTTTAAGGCAAGTGTCTGCACTTAACCAACTGAAACCCAAATGACAAGTTTGTTTAAGCTGACTACAAATCTCCCAACATAGATAGCTTGTCACAGAATACACTGCTCAAGAGGAAAAAATGCATGGAGCATAAAACCAGGAGCTTCCTTAGTCCATGAGATAATTACATAGTCAGCTATAACTTAACAGCTTATATTTGACTGTGCTTATTTTTTCATGTTAGATTTGGTAGCGAAATAGCATTCAGGAGATAGTACTGAAGACACACTACAGAGAACCTCCTTCCAATCAGCTGATTCCCACAATTACTAGAAACATGTATCGACCAGTATATCTGAACTAATAAAGAGAACTGGCTTTTTCTAAAGCATTAAAAGATAATTAAACCCTACATTTATATAAAATTTCCCTTTCTGTGGTAACTAAAATAACAAATGTAAATTCAAGTAATGTAATGTAAATTCAAGTTAATTAAAAAAAAACTACAAAAACTAGTTTTCCATAAAATTCTCTTTAAAAAAAAGAATTTACACATGCTTGAATTTTATACCTTGTATTTGAAAAATAATATATCATGTAGTTAAGAAAATTAGGGAAAACATGTAATGCGTTATCAGGAAAACACGACAATTCCCATAAAACATTGAGGGTGCACTCTTATTTTTAACTTGACAAATTAACAATAAAAGAACATTTGCTGACACACACCAGCTTAAAGTCAAACCCACACAGACCACAATTCACTGCAGTATTACAATAAATCACTTAAATCACCTCTGCAAGGCTACAGATGCTGGAAGAGAAAACTAGGTATAGGAAGTCATTTCTGAGTACTAAGATTCTCAAAAAGGTACAATGCTTTAAAGAGCCAATACATGGCCTGTTTCCATCAAAAAGAAAAAAGTACTCAGTACTGCAATTTCTAACATAACTCAAACTGCCTAAGAAATTGATATCAGACGAGCTTCACAATGAGTACATTACAACCAATATTGGTCACATACGTAAAAGAACTTACTTTCTTCCTTGAAATGACGTCAGGGCATCTGGCGTAGACACTGGACTGACACTTCTGTAAGTCACTGGTTGCAGTGTAACAGTTGGAGTAGTTTCAACATTCCCACTCAAAAGAGCTCTAGAAAGACTACAGTCCAAAACAGTCATTCATAGATAACCAAGATACTTTTTATGGATTGGTAGTTTTTGTTAACTGAATATTAAATTCTACAAGTCCTATCACTTGGGTATTTTTAGAAGGAATATATCTTTCTTTTCTATTCAACATGAAGATATATTTCAGTTTATAACATTTCATTAAAAACAGAAAATGTTCATTCTTGGCAGCATATGTGTAAGAAGGGGTTAGCAAACAAATTCACTTAAGGAACTTTTAAATTCAAAAGCCTAAACAACACTACAGTATCTTCAAATATTAACCCAAGAATAAACATTTCCTCCCCTTCTCATCTCCTCCCTGCTCTCCTTAATAAACAAATATGATCGAACATCTTTAAAACTGAGCTGTGGATTAACAACTCTAATCAGCACCATTACATCTCATGCATTATGCATCGCAGGCAAGCATATAGATTTGCAGGTCCATAAGAGAAATTATACAGCTCTTTTTTATATGCATGACATCTTAAAAGTTTTGTGAAGTTCAGGGCAGTTCAATGTTATAAACAGTGAACACTATCCTTCATAAGGAGAAATATTTCTTTCAGACCAACCCCTGCTACCAAACCTTACTGTACTTACACTGCACTGCGAAGATGAAATGGAGGAACAACAATTTGCTGGTGAGAAAGAAGAGTAGGAGGCATATTTAAAGGAAGTTTAGTGAAGAAAGTACTCTGTTGTTGATATTTTGGAGGAAAGGGTGGACGACCCAAGTTGGAAGAATTTGGGAACATGCTCCTTTCTACTTGAAGTGAACATGTATTCTTTTATCTAAAAAAAAAAAAAAAAAGAAGAAATTGAAAGCAAGCAAAAAAGCAAAAAGAAATACCTGTTACCTTTTAAGCTCTTGGTTTAAAAATTCAAGTAAGCTAGAATATACTTCCAGGAACTGCTGAAGAGAATGGTGATCACAGGATTTCTGTCATTATAAGACACTAAACAAAAATGCTGCACACTCTCAAGTTTCATAATTATTGCTTACTTTATTTATGTTTAAAAGTGAATTTTTATATGACCCCCTCAATTTTTAGTTTAATTAAAAAAAAATAAAATTACACGTCACAAGATGTAACAGTTTTCATCTCAGGGAAAAGTACCATGCAACTGTGGAATTTGTTTCATATTTGAAACAGGTTCATAATATACGGAAAGAAATCCTTGAGTACATTATAAGAGCATGAAGATTCAGCTAATCATGAACTACAAGTTATGTCATGAAGTTTAGTACTTTTTCACAACACGACAAGTAAAAAAGCAGACAAATGATAACATCAATTGCAACTAATCTAATCATGCTTTATCATACATATGTAGTACTATTTTACTGAACAGACTCTGTCATAGAAAAAGATAGGTTTACTATCTTTTCAACTCAAAATTATTCTGGCACAACTTCCCAGACAATTCTGACTGCCACTGTGGACAGCATTAGGACAAAGCATAAGAAAATTAATAATGAGGAGTTTATATGGTTGTGTTTGGCTTTGCTCCTTATTTCCTGCGATAACAATCCACACTAGTGAATAGTAAAAACCTGCACTAGCTCTTGCTGCACTAGCTCTAAGAGAAAGCTATTAGAGTTGTTCCTTTTTTTTTCCCCCATTTGATGGGGCGGGTGAAGGGAAGCAGTATGCATTATGGAAGTTACTATTTGGATGTTCACTTTCAGTTCTGCTGAAGAAATGACATCATGTTGCATAACAAGTAAGTCACTTGACATTTAGTCTGGATGAGTATCTGCTGTCCAAACCTTTCTATTTCTAGCAGACAGAACAAGTATTAACATGCCCCATTCCCCTCTAAACAGACCAGGCACTCTCCACAGCACACCATAGAAATAAGCAGTTTAGGTATACAATTAGCTAGTCACAGAACGATGAACGAGAATTCAAGAGTTAGGCGCAGAAGAAACACATGTTCAGTTTCGCCTTTGAAGCTGTAAACACCAGGAAGACAAGCAATGGAGGAATTACCTTCCCCAACCCAAAACAATGCAGCAACACCGCTTTCTCACAACAGCGACAACGACCTTTACCGTGACCGTCAGCACGGGTTACCTCGCCAGGAATTGCCAGGCTCTCCTGAACAAGCTTCACAACTTGCAGTCCAGGTACCTTTGTCCCTTTGGGCAGTGTTTCCAAACAAGCAGCTATTTCCCACAGAGCCACATGAGTGAACCGTGCAGGCAAGTCCGTGCGCACGGAAACCCGCCAGCCCCCAGCCCCCATGCCGGGAGAGGCGTCCGGGCCCGCCGCCACCCCTGGGGCCAGAGCCCGGCACCCCGACGCCGCTCCCTGCCGCGTCCCCGCGGAACCCCCACAGGACACTCACGTAGGGCCTGAGCGGAGGCAGGCGGGGCGGGCCTGCGGGTATCACTGCGCGGGGCGAGCAGCGGAGAGCAGTTCCCACAGCTGAGCACTGTCCCGTCCCCCGGATGCAGAGACACCGCAGGAAGGGGCCGGCACGCGGCAGGAAGGGCCGGGATGCGGCAGGAAGCGCTGGGATGCGGCAGGAAGCGCTCTCTCCGTCAGTTCCTGCGCCACTTCGCGGCCTCCTCCCGGCGTGCACGCCCCCTAGCGGCTCGGCGGGACGCATGCGCGGGGCGGCTCCGTGAGGGATCGGTGGGAGGCGGCGGCGGGAGTTGGAGCGCTCCGCCGGCACCCGGTCCGGCCGGGCCTGAGAGAGACACCACGGTGCAGCTGGTTTGCTTTCTACAATTACTGGCGGACTGTTACTGAGCTACTGTTCAGAAGCGTGTCCAAACTATTATATTTGGCTAAATACTAGGATTTGGGCAACATGGATTATAGGCATGCTAGGATTAATCTGGAGTCACAAACATATTGAAATGCTTGCTCCCTGAAGAATGTCAGAAGCAAAATGATAGAATCATAGAAACATCAATGTTGGAAGAGACTTTTAAGATACATGCAGTCCATCAACCGTCCATCCAGCACTACCAACTAATCCCTAAACTACTAAACTATCACCCATCACCAGATCCAAACACCTCAAGAACATCTCAAGGTGACTCAATTACATCCTTAGGCAATCTATTCCAATGCTTAACCACCCTAGTAATACAGAAAAAATAATTAATACATAATCTGAATGTTCCGTGGTTCAATTTAAGGCCATTTCCTGTAGTCCTGCAGGCACCATAGGAGAGACCAGCTCCCACCTGGCACCTTCCTTTCAGGGAGCTGTAAGAGCAAAAAGGTGCCCCCTGAACCTGCTCTTCTTAAGACTAAACAAACCCAGCTCCCTCAGCTGTTCCTCATATGACACATTTTCTAGTCCTTTCACCAGCCTTGTTGCCCTTCACTGGACACTCCAGCACCTCAATGCCCTCTTTAATGTGATTCCTTCTTGAGGAGTACACTTATCATAAGTGAGCTCATGGCTGAGCAGGTACTGAAACAGTGAGTTTATGCATCCATAGACACACTGTTGAAGCTCCTGTGTTTGAGAGGAAAGGGGTAACTTGAAAGCTTGCTCAGCTTCAAAATTCTTACCTGAGGGCTTGCTCAGATGAGAGCAGGCCACAGCTGGAGTTGTTACGGTTTAAGGTTCTGGCTACTCAGAGATAGACTTAACAGATAAGAAAGCAAAAAAACACAGGGGCCTAGTGAAGTGCAGATGGACAGGCAAGGGAAAGTTTGGGCTGTGAGACAACTTTATTTTCTTGGCTATGACATGGGATCTTCATATTAGGATCTGTTTGTGATTAGCATTGCATTTATGAGAGACAAATCTAGTGGCATACTTTGAATGAAGATGTAAAGCAAAGCTCATCCACAAAGAAATTTCCTGGAAGAAATTTTTATTCTGGTCAGCGGACTAGGGCTGCTTGGGGGGATGGGATGAAACACAGCTGGACAGTGACCCAAAATGACCAAAGGGATATTCCAGAGCATGTGACATCATGCCCAGTATATGAACTGGGAGGAACAAGGAAGAAGAGGGGGCATTTGGAATTATACTGTTTGTCTTCCAGAGTAACCATGACTTGTGATGGAGTCCAGCTGTCCTGGCCGAACACCTACCTGTCCATGGGAAGCAGCGAATAAATTCCTTATTTTGCTATGGTTGCATGCAGAGCTTTTGCTTTTTCTATTAAACTGTCTGTATCTCAAGCCATGTTTTCTAACTTTCACCCTTCTGATTCTGTCACAGATCCTGCTAGTGGAGAAGTGAGGAAGTGGCTGTGTAGTGCTGGTTGTGAGATGGGATTAAACAATGACAATCTTTCTGTGCTGTTTGTTTGGAATCAAGACTTAACTTTCTACTTCCTGCTCAAGACAGAAATGTTGTGTCTTAACTGCTAGAGGTCTGTGATACAACTCCTTATAGCTGCAGTTCTCCACCTGCCGCATTCAAACGGTGTTCTCCAGATCATTTGACTGCTTTTCTCATCATAATCTATCCATTAACTAAAACATGTCGTGCTCCTAGGTTTGTCACATTTGTCATGGGGTCTATGATAAATCTAACCTAACTTAATCAATATACTCGGCAGCAGTGTTTAGACCAGGATGTTAAAAATCAACATCTTTTTATACAGCAAAAATGAAAAAGAGAAAGAAAATAAAAAAAATATTTAGAAATGCCTTTACTGATTGAAGTAACTTGTGTTGCTGTGTATTTTCCTGGTTTCCTTTCCTCTGCTCCTTGGCATAAGGCACCCTGATTTTGTGTTTGCATTAATTGAGATACTAAATAACTTTTTTTTTTTTTTTGGCACAGACTGTTAACTCAAGGATTTTTCCCCATGTCTTGCCTGCACTCACTTGTCAACCTAGCTGCACATTTCAGTGAGGCACCTGAAATAACCTGACATTTTACAAATTGCCAACAGCCTTCCGAGACAAATCTCTGTGCTTTGATGTGCTGAGAGCTGTTCTATTTTTTCAATGTGTGCTGTCTTTCTTCCTGACCCTGACTGTGATCTCAGACAGTTTACAGATATTCTTCTGTTAGAAAAGACATATAAAGCCTTACTTCTAGTTTTAGGCAGGAATTGGACTGCTGGTCTACAGATACTGAACTGAACAACTATACAATAAAGAACTGGGGAACTTGCACTAGTGATTCCAACAGATTCCCCCAAACAGAATGGCGTTAGGACTAGTCTTGTGTTTCTGCCTCAAAAGATGCTTGCATTAGAATTAAAATGGTATATTTATTGTAAAAGTTTGTAAAACTAATTTATTTGAACGACAGCCACAAAATTGAGTGATCAATGAAGGAAATTTGTGATCTGTAATAGAAGCAGAGTCTAAAGTCAGCCTCTATAAACTACAAACTATACTTAGTTCTGATATGAGGAAAGAGAGTGGTTTCCAGAAGTAGTTGACAAAGAAATCTCTAATGAGCCATCTGCAATTTCTCTCATAGAATGAAAACCATTATGCAACATAAAAATCCTTATTTAGTGCTTTTTGCAATTTTCTGAAGCTTTTGGAGCTGAAGTGCTTCAGCTACTTAGTCTCTGAAGGTAAATAGTGATGGAAAGTTTGATCAAAGCATCTCAATTGTCAGTAGCTCAAGAGGGAATAAATGAAGAATAAAAGTCAATTCCTCTATGGAAACCTTTGTTTAATCTTTGAAAAGTCTACAGACTTTTCTTTGCCTCTTGGTACCTCAGAAGGCCTATGGGAGTTCGGACAGGTGTGTGGTTAGAATGTGCTTTACCATAGCAAACAGCCTTATTAAAGGGCACCTATACTACTGCACTCATTAACAGTGATGAAAAACATGTATTTGTATGCTCTGCCCCTACTTACTTATTTAACTTACTTGAAACTTTTTTTTTTTTTAGTTTCAAAACCACCTGTATTATGTGATCATTTATTATGCTGTTAGTGTCTGGGACTAGGTCTGAAATAATGAAACTTGTGTCAACACAGAGCTTCATTCTAAGTATCCTTTTTTCATATTTGGTACTGGGACCAAACATAGCACATAGATTAAAACAAAAAATGTAGCTACAATTAAATAAATGGTATAACAGGGATTAATACGGTGCAGGATCCACTGTGAAGATTGAAGCTTCTTAGTCATGATACCCACATGCAATGCTTTAAATTTCATTTAGAAATCAGGATACTCTGGGATTGAAGCCAAACCAGACAGTGAGGTTTAAAACAAATTTTATGTACCAGGGAAAAAGCAGCTTTCCCCAGGAAAACAATACAAGATTTTAATAATAATACAAAGAACATAAATTAGATGTCCATTAGAAAACAATATTAAAAAGGTATAAAGGCATATAAAGTAGATTTGAAATTTTAGCAAGTAAATACTGAATGAAAAATTAATAATTAGTGAGACAAATGCAGTATTTTTCCCCACTGTGCAACATTCTTGTTCTGACGTTCAACCTTCAGTGCTTTCAAAGTATTTATTACATACAGTGTGCTAATTTTATATGCATATAGGTATCACATAATATACAGTACAGGATTTATTAAATGTAGTTAATATCATAGGCCTCACATGAAAAACCTCACATGAAAATGTGAGGTAAATTTGCAAACATGTCAGTTAAATGTGTGAGTTCCAACTTTGAATTGTAAAATCCAGATAAAATACAGATTTGATAAATCTATAATAATGATTTATAGCAAAATATGTACTTACAGTGATCTTCATTTGGTGTGTCTACGTATGAATTATCCCTGTATCTTCTTCAGATGAGTATTTTGTAGTGCACCGTTTAGATTACCATTTAAAATGTACTATATGCATTTGATGAGAGTTAAGGTGTTGTGATACATGGTTAATGCTCTGCTCTGGTTAGATTAATGAGTAATTGCTAGTATTTTTATTACTTCAGTCTTTGTTTCTATAAATTTTGTAATTACACTCCTTTAAATACAAGTGTTTTAAAGGAAGGTCTAGGTTTTCCTAAATTTTATCTTTCCTCTCTTTCATGAAGAGAGACATGTCTTAAAACACAGGGTCATGAATTTCAAATGAAAACAGTGGATAAAGCAAATTTATTCTGCACAACTCTAGAAAACTGGGGTTTATTCCAGTTTTGTATTTGCTCATTGTACCCTTAGGAGGATATTCATGTTCCTCATGCCCTAAACTAGTCAGTTAAGTTTTTGAAGGACATGCCTGATATGTCAGTTTCTGAAAGTTAAGATTTTAGTAAAATTTTATTGTAGATAAATAGTAGATAATCAGCTGTTGCCCAGTTTTTATAAGTAGTTGAGAGAAATTGATTTAAGGTTAATGGATCTGGAGGCAATATCCATAAACTTATCTTCATGCATATAGTAACATCTCCAAACTGCCAGACAGACAGATACAAACTTTTTTCTCTACTGAATTAAACATTTAATAAAGTCAGTATTATCTCTATTTTACATTTGTTTAAAAATTGATAAATTTAAGCATGCACTTAGAATTTATGAGTTTTCAATTAGCATACTGGGACTTGAAAAAATTGTGAAGGTTCTGCTGTGGATTAGTAAATAAAATATAACTTCCTACATGTGTTCTGTTT